TTCAACTGCAAAATCGTGCACGGAGGACAGCTGACAGACTCGTTTGAGGTGCAGACCGGTGTCAGGCAAGGTTGCTTACTCTCGACCTTTCTCTTTCTTCCGGTCATCGACTGGATTATGAAGACGTCAACATCTGGAGGGAAGCGCGGTATCAACTGGACAGTTAGGACGCAGCTGGACGATCTGGACTTCGCAGATGACCTGGCTCTTCTATCTCACACTCAACAACAAATGCAAGAGAAGACGACCAGTGTAGCAGCAGCCTCTGCAGCAGTAGGTCTCAACATACATAAAGGAAAGAGCGAAATTCTCCGATGCAACACAACATGCACCAACCAAATCACTCTTGATGGAGATGCCTTGGAGGACGTTAACTCCTTTACATATCTGGGCAGCATCATCGACGAGAAAGGTGGATCCGATGCAGATGTGAGGGCGCGGATTGGTAAAGCAAGGGCTGCATTTCTACAGTTGAAAAATATCTGGAACTCCAAACAACTATCAACCAAAATCAAAATCAGTATTTTCAATACAAATGTCAAGACAGTTCTACTGTATGGAGCGGAAACATGGAGAACTACGAAAGGCATCATCCAGAAGATACAAGTGTTTATTAACAGTTGTCTACGCAAAATACTTCGTATTCGTTGGGCAGACACCATCAGCAACAATGAACTGTGGGAGAGAACCAACCAGATTGCAGTGGATGCGGAAATCAGGAAGAAGCAGTGGAAGAAGATAGGACACACACTGGAGAATGAAGACCAGGACAGAGTTGGTTAGAGGAAACTGGTGAGCGGCCTATGCTCCATTCGGGTTAACAGGCGCAAGTAAGTAAGTCTCGACTATTTAGTTGAATCTTTCATTTTCTTGCTTATATATGTACATTTTAATCCTATTCATTCCTTTCCTTACTCGCTCATTCTCTTGCTCTTGACCTTCGGCAATCACATATTATTTTTTCTTCGTGTGCCTGTGGTCCGTTGGTGTGTCGTGGTGCACCAAATAAACGTATTCAACACTTTGTATTCCTCTTCTGATTTAAAAACTGTGAGGCTTTATTTAACAACGGTTGTCTGGAAGAGCAACATTCGGAGTCTAAGAACATATCGAATACCAACCGCCGCGAAATTAGTAAGGCATCGGCCACCACATGTCATATTTGCTCTCCTCTTTGGTTCCACTATGGTAGTTCACGGAGTGCCTGAAATAGATGGTAGTAGCTTGGATGAAGCTCACGTGCATGATATGCTACGGTGGTAACGGCTATCATGCAGCGTGGGCCTTCATATGACAACTGCTATTTGCATTTTTAGGCTGCATCGTCCGTCACACCTTAGGTCTATTAAGTCACCACATCTGATGGCTGTGGAGTTGAGGAATTTGGAAGACATGAGTTGAGGGTTTCAGGTTTCGCATAACTAGAAGCACGACCTCTCTAACCACATATGGTGTTGCGAAAGCCGACCTACATCTGTGAGACAGCAGCTGGGAGGCCATAATAAACGCACGGAATCGACAGTTGACCTCCATCAACAACACACAGCATAAGGTACGAAGATGATAGTTTCGCCGATAGAACGCACTGCACAGGCTAAATACACGCAGAGGCCAGTTCCTACACAACTGGATAACTCGGTTTAAACAACTTTTTTTGAAAATCCGACAACGGCTGTTGTTGCAAAGGTGCAGCAGGTGATGAGACAAACGAAAAATTTCCTCTACAGCAAGGTAAGAGGACTAAGGGCTAAGCTGTTATAAATCAGGAACATGTGCACTCAGATGAATTTGAAGATCATGATCCTAACTGAAACACTGCTATCCCTTCACATTGCAGACGATGAACTGACGTTGCAAGGCATGACACTTCCGATGCTATAGGTTACATAACATAGAAGGCAGAGTAGCTATATATAAGTAGCCAATTACTAGCCGGGCGGCAATACAACACCCAACTAACTGGGGTGACAGAATCATGTTGGTGTTTTTTCCACACAAACGGCACGAAATACTTGATTGGAGGGACTTTTCGACCCTTCTCAGGTACCAGGGACCAGAAGGACAAACTGACTGAGGTAATACTGCGATTGCCACTCCTGGGGTTTGACCAGCTACTCTTAGCTGCAGATTTCAACACCCCATCTCTAAATCTGAGCAACCAGGATACGACTCCCAGTGGTTGGTTCTGAAGACAACTTAGCGCAGGCATTAGAAGATCTGGGCTTACTGGGCACGTAGTGCCACTAGATGAACTAAGGAGGGAAAGTCCTCAAAATCTGATTATTTGTTAACAAATGATCAGATCCTGGTTGAGGATGTTCACTTTCATACACCAATAGGAAAAATAGACGAGACGAAAACGAGCCATGTCTTTGCTACTCTACGGAAAACTACACGTGCTTGAGAAAGCATCTTCCGCATATCCCATGGGAATGGGACTGCTGTATGCTAACATTAGATGATCACTGGCGAACAGTTATAGACATCATCCAGAATGCTATCCTAGCTATCGTGCTTCAGGCACATCACACACCCGAAACTGGATCATCAGCCAAGCGAGGCATCGAACGCCTGTTATAGGCGAAGAGGTGAGCCAGGTACGAGTGGAAGTTCTCCTTGAAGGATCCCGATCATAGTTCTTACTTGGCATCGAGAAACAGGTACAATACCAAAGTTCGCAGTGATAGCAGACGCTTTCAAATGAAGCTAGCTGTTCAACTACACACAAACCCTAATCATTTGTCTAGGTGTATGACAAAATAGCACCTACGAGTCAGGGTTTGTGTTCTCCCGAAGGTCCGAGCGGGGACGACTCCACCAAACCAGAGATTGCTGAGATCTTCAACACAAACTTTACCGATCAGTTAAACCAAGTATCCACATGTTCAGAGTACTACGCAAACCCAGTGCCAGCCGACGGCTTAGAGAATATCAAACCTACTCCTAACTCCGTACTAAGGAAACTTAAATCCTTACTCCCTGTAAAATCACCAGAATGTGACAATATTCACTTTCATAGTCTTGAAACAATGTTCAGAAGCCCTCTGTTCACCGATATGTGACATGTTCAGACTTTCACTGAAGCCATATCAACTCCCAGCTGAATTGAAACAAGCTACTCTCTCTCTCTTATCTTCAAAGGCGGAAACAGGAAGGACCCGGCCGGTCACGGACCAGTCGCATTACTACCAGTACTATCGAAGGTAATGGTAGAGCTGGTGTACTGACATGTGAGCGAGTACATTGATATGGAGAAAATGCTCCATGTAGCTCAACATGGGTTTCAGAAATTCAGGTCGTGCGCATACAATGGAGTCATAGTATGTAACGGTTGGATATCTTGCTTGGACCGAAAAATTTGAGTGTTATGCATACCCGTAAACACGTTATTTGATATGCTTGAATTATTACGAGGTTACCTTGTTCGGAAAACAAGAGCGGGGATCGATGACTCGGAGACACGATAGGCTACTCTGATCCGATTGTCCCAAAACCCAACCGAGTAAAAGAAGAAGACTTGATAGAAGTAGAACGTGCATTCTGCAGGCATCCAGAAAGTACGAGGTCCAAGTCTTGAAAATAATCAGAACCTCGGACTAGGGATACGGGTCCGGGTCTGGGCCATAAAACGTTACAGATAATACGTATTTATACAGTTAAGTGGAATGAGAAACAACATTGAAGTCTGTGATATTGACAGTTGGGACGACCAATGGGGAACATTATTTGAAGCATGTGACATTGATAGTTAGGACGACCGTAATATTAAGTAAATTATCTAATTATTTACTTAGTTCTGAAATCTGCTTCTGATTAGCATGAGAACCAGCAACTAACTGATCCCCGGTCTGATAGTGCGATAGCTGCTAGTATCCAGAAAACCTACTTCCCTCAACCAAACGTATTCATTCAAATCACGGGACAAACGAACTCACAAACAACCGCCAACTGACTAGAATTAGTGCAGTCGAGTGGCTAGACACTTATCCACTAGACACAACCTAGCACCTGAAACCTTACCGAAAGAACAAGAATCAAACGCAAAGAAATCAAGTAGTTTATACTAGTTCGTGTAAAAGATATTGGATCTTGCAAAAGCTACCAGCAGAGATACCCTTTATTGGTATCATTACGGCTTTCGACCAAACTCCTCACAACCGGGTGTTATCTAAGTCATGTTATCGGGATTATAAGCAGCATATTTATCCGGATAAGGGTTTTCACAACCGACAACTAACCAAGGGGGTCTGTTAATAGCAGGATGAGACTTGAAACTTCACACTTCCTCGTGACCGTCGCCAAACGTTTTAGAATCCGGAAGTCATAATGCAGAGCCCTTATCTATGTCATTTCTAAGACCTTCCTGACTTTGTATACAATGTCTCTTCGTCCTAAACTTGAATACTATATACAAGAAGCTAGCAACTGCCTTAAAAGGCGGTGAACTGTTGTAAAAAATTTGAAAATGAAATTTAGTTGATTCACAGAATAACAAGGCTGCCGCACGACTGAACGTTTTATATAAGCTTACTCCTCTCTCTCATCTGGAAGTAGTAAAGATGACTTGACTACATTTACGATTCCGCATCTGACACGCCTTAATATTTCTTGTCACTCAAAATAGAGAATTTACGAGGTCACTCCAAAATGATGTGCAATCTCATAGCAAGCTATTTGTCATTTGACTATCAACTTATCAATGTAAGCATCAACGAATAAAACTTTTTACCCGAAAATGTAATTGGAACTCACCTGTGGATACATTGAAAAAAGGTGGATCAGTTGAGAAACCCTCATTGCTAAGGTTAGAACAAACCGTACACCTAATCCCCTGTCTAAAAGTGAAACTAACTGCTGAACTGTTGATAAATTCAAAGGTGTTACAAAGACAATTTTGTCACATAGAAACTTTGGTAAGATGCCAGTTGTAGATCAACAGCATGTTCAGGACCGGACGTAACTTGGACTTTTTGAATGAATCAGTACATTATTTATTGTCACATGGCGCTTCGTTAGGTTGAGATAGAACGTCGGTATTCTACATATGTACTTAATATGTGATATCATTGCTCCTTATGCCTTTGGAACTACTCTATTATCAGGAGTCTAATTTAAGGTGAAAATGCATCTCACCGAAGAGGATGAAAACAATATCCAGATCGTAAACGAGTTCAAAGTCACTTGGTTCACGCTACTATCTCGTGTTGATGCTGGTAAATGATCTTAATACTTAAGTTTTGAATTGATTTAGCTCCAACGGTAGATGAAATTGTTCTTACATCATTAAATCATGTAGCAAACCTGATGGTGTGCCGAAAGGGAGGGAACTCATCACGAAGTGTTGTTTTTGATATGGCTCTCAATTTATGTGTGTTCGAAACATTATTTCAATGGAACTTTGTGTTTACTGGGAGTGATCTTGAGGCTTATAAAGTAAGAGAGCTTCAGTTCTACGACTCCTTGATTGGGAACAATGGTGACCTCTATTTGTCTCATGAGGCTGTGAGTTATTTGATATTTCCTACCAACTTGCGAAATATCATTTACCCATATTTGCATACATTTTTTATAACCTCGTAATAAATTTTTATACCGTTCTTATGTTGTCCACACCACAGTTGGTTTTTTGCTATTACTTCCAAGTAATACTCAATCCAAAAAATATTTTGTTTCTCAAGAGTCATAGCTTGTATGTATTTTCTAAATGTTTTTCTACTCTTTTCAATAGTTAATAACCATATTCACTGCACCGTACGTTTCTTACAGTAACATATTGGTATCTATAGGCAAACACCTATGTATGCTAGGAAACGCCTGCGTCACACGTTTATACTCAAAGAGCCCTTTTCCACTGAAATAATTGCTACGTACAGATGTTGGTCGTATATTAGGGACGTTTAAAGCCAAAAAAGACTCAAGTTTGTGTTTTTTGTCTGTCCAAATTGATCTGTGCCAATTCTTACGAGAAAATTTTCTGTAGATATTTCATAAACGCATTTCACCATAACTGTAATTTCAATTTGTTAAATAATATGGACTATTTTGTAAAAGCACCTCACTTTTTTACTGTAAGTAGCTAACTGTCCTATCCGTTAAGCTGTTGTGTTGCCATAATGTGAGATTTAATATGATTTGAAAAGTGAGGAGCGTCCCAACTGCCAGTATACTTAAATTAATAAAATCACGCAAGTCAAAACTAAGTGAATTTCAGTTTCCTGTGGTATCGTGCTTCAAATGTACAGGCTGAACTGAATTTCGACTCTTTAAAATCATTTTTACGTGCAGTATGATAAATATGTATTATAACTGCATTTATTAACTTTATTCAGATATACTACTCAATTCAAAGAGAATTTAATACTTACTCATACGTAGAAAACTAGCGAATTTTCTATCGTTGGTTTGTTGCAACAAATCATATTACTCACCATAATGACTAGTCGACAAGTCAATAACGAAAAAAAGATATAGGTACTCGAATCCATTATTAGGTGACTTTAGTTTTATTGCAGTTCGGAATCTAAAAATCTTTCACTGAGTAGATAATTGCAGCTTTACCTCTGCTTTATGCGTGTAAAAAGCCAGCTATTTTTCCAGTTGATTGAAAGTGTATTCTGTGAAATAACGTGAAGAAATTAACCCTGAAATCGTACCTTAATATATTCACATATTTAATCTGTTGATCAGTGCTTGTGTTCCCTAAAATATATACTCTTACAGATCAGTTTTAATAACAAATTTTATCTCTCCTACCTTAGCACTTTATCGAATCATCACAGTTATAATAATAAGTTAGTTTTCTTAGTTATATACAGTTGCTATTATGTTTTTCACCACTGTAAATCTTGTAGCAGGTTTCTAAATTTCAAGGACCAGCAATTTTCACAATCAAAATAAAGACCACGTATAAATATTATGCTGTAAAGTCTTAGCGTATAACTCTACAATAAATTACCTTAGCATTCGGTTCAAAAGAAAAACAAATGGTTTATAGTTTCACAGTTTACAAATTTCAGTTTTTTAAAAATATGTTTTATCAGTTTAGTCGTTACACTAGTTTTCGGAATCCCTAAGTCGCTTGACTTAGCTCTCAAAACCGAACAGATATCATAATAAATTATCGAAAAAGTAAACTGATTCGTTAGTCTTCGTTAGATTACTTAAAACTGATTGAGATGATTTTAGAGAACGTGCGAACTGGTGTACTTTTTAAAATTACTCAAAGCATTGCATCAATAACATGTAACGAACACAGTAAAATGTTGCATATTGTGTACCAAATTAAATTATTCCACCAAGTGAACCAAAGGCTTTGTTTTAAAGTCATTTACCAAGTGTAAGATTAATCACTCAAATTTGGGTCATACTCGTCTTTCGATACCTAACAATCATTTCAGGCTGTTTAGACCTACTTAAGTGAAATGGGCTGCACCTTAAGCAATCTGTTATCAATGAAAATTTAAGACCACAATTTTTAAATCCAAGCAACATATCTTATACAGGTACATCCATATAAAAAGCATTTATTTCTTGGAAGCACTTAACCTAGATAAAAAAATTTACAACAACCTATCAGTTTTGTGAAGATTAGAAATATTCTGTCTTTTGAATGTTTACATACATCTCATAATTATTTTCAGGACACATTCAAGTGTACAGTCAGTATATACACTAATAATAAATAAAATAAATTTTTAACGTGAGAAATTTAATAAACTGTTCTTCCCAGTTCAAATGAAAATTAGTTTTACAATACGTTTCATGATAATCTTCAGTTTTAGTACATTTAAAATTAAGCCGTTCTACTTAAATCTCGCTATCAGTTTTATTGAACCCATTTCTACTAAATATGGAGTTATATATATATATATATATATATATATATATATATATATATATATATATATCCGTACAAGCATTACATTGCACACATGAGACCACTCCAGGCTCACCTATCCACTTATATACTTGCACCGAAAATGATTAATTATTGTGCACATTGAGTGTACATTTTAATCTTAGCTGATTAACTCTATTAATCCAACGTGCATTCATGTGCTCTTAAGTTTAAAAAGATTAATTTTAAGTTTCTCTTTTCCAAAAAGTTAACAATTCTTTTTCAATGAACCAAATTAACTCACGATTACTGTCGGTGTTCTTATCGTTATTGTTGTATAAATAATTTTTACTCAAAGTTGAATGATATTGATAATGACAACAAGCTTGGAGGTTTGAATGGTGTTTTTTCATTTATTTTTACATATGAATCATTGGCTTAATAATGATTAGAGTATTCAGCTCTTAACTATTAGTTCACAAGTTCGGCCCCTCTTTGCTTTAGATAGTTGAATGATATCACTGGCCATAAAGTAAATTAAGTTCGACTTCGAACTGATTGCATACGCTTGTAGCTGGTACTTGATTTGCATTACACTATTTATTTTTGATGCTTGTCTTCGATCATAAGTGTCTCCGAAGCATTGCTCGTATATCCTGGGACAATCGAGTAAGCAATGTTGTCTTAAAGAAACAAGTAATAGGTAGGGATGGCAAATCAATAGATGAAGTAATGAAACTTCATCAGTTGACATGGTTGGGACATGTGTTACGTATGCCTAACCACCGACTGCCTCGACGAGCTATGCTTTGTGGTGTAGGAGTAGGTTGGACGAAAGCTAGGGGCGGCCAAACGAAGGCAAAAATCCGTGACATCATTGACAACCGGAATGAGCCAGGTGTAGAATACCTGGTTAGGGTCCGAGAGACAATAGTAACCGATGGTTAGAGACCTTGAATGACATGGCTCAAAACCGTTTGCAGTGGCGCAAGTGCACCCACTCTTTGTCTTCTCTCAAATTCTAACCTGAATTCCTCATTATCTCTGTCTTTCTCTTTCTAACTTTTTCTCACTGAATTATACCCAAATCTTCTCCATTACTGCTAATACTTCTACTATCGCTACCACTATTGGATTTGAACTGACAGTTGCGTCTTTATGTTAATGCGGTATGACAACCTGAACTGATGTACTTACGTACAAAGTTCTGTGTTGTATCTGTCTGTCAATTTTCGATGCCAAAAGAGTATATGCAACTTCCCCTTAGCAAATTTTTCTCGTCTTTTCTCAATCGAAATGATTGTATCAGTGAATATGTTTACTAAGTCAGCGTTGCAATAAATAAGTAAAAACTGAAAAAAAAATGAAATAGGCTTAAGAAAGGTTTCTAATGATTTATTTACTCGATATCCTTGAACAGTCGTTATCTTGTATAGTGTGCTTATACTATAATTGGAAAATTCTGACTGCCTTAAATGGGATGTTTATAACTTCATATTTTAGGGATACAGCTTTGGCTTATGAAAAACTTGCAAATTACAAATGATTGTTAAAATAGAATGAAACTATCTTTAAAATAGCAGGTCTAACTCAAAGTGGAAAAGTGAAAATTCTATTAGTACAGTGAGAGGCGCGAAGCTACAGTTTCATTTTGTGGACTAGCTGGTCTCGCATTCTGTTGGAGGTATGAGGGCGGTTGTTATTTCACGATTACTTAAACGATGGGAGGAGACTCCCCCCCTTAGAGGGCCTGAGGAGGAGGCCGAATTAGTAGTCATCTCGGTTACCTCGGAAAGTGTCTGTAGAGCCCAAGCGAAAACTTCCCGAGGCCGGTCACACATAGCCTTTTGTGGGAAGATTTTTGTGTATTATTGCAATGCTTTGAAAAACCTTACGACGACAAACGAAAATCCATGCGATAGGGGGAAGTTTGACCTTTTTGCATCATACATCTCTCAACCCCCTCCTTCTGTTATAATAAGACAACTCCGTTGCAAATGCGGATCGTCTAAGCGACAAACCTTGCTGCTTATACGTCTCTGTAAAGTCAACAATGCCTCCTTATCAGGCCTTGAGTTATGCTTACCATTACCTGAATAACCTGTCAGTATGGTAAAACCGAAGGAAACAAGTGTTCCAGCTGATGTACTTCAGTCGACTCACTACGATATGCAATCCTGAACACTATATTAGGTAACAGCTACGGTCGGCAATACTGATTAATGTGGGGTACTAGTAAAAATAGCAAAATGATTAGCAGGAATTATGATCATCTCATTGTATGAAGCTACCATTTCGTGATGTGCCGATCGTAGCAACAGAAAGTTACTTCACTAATGACTGAAAATCATGTCGGCAGTTATAGGTGGAAAAAAATATATACCATGACAGAATTTATACATTAGAAAATTGGTAACTTTAAAAACAGGAAAACAGATAAATATGGCTTTAATTGAATTGAGAATATGCATTGGAAACGATTGTCTACAAAGAAAAGTCGAATTATTCTGACTATTCAGAAATGTAGGAATTACCTTGGGATTTGTTAGGTATGTTTTGATGTTTTTCAACGTATTATTATCACCTGTCACAAAAAATGCATTTTTAGGTTAGTTTTCCTAGAAAACTTGTTTAAACAAGATCGAAATGGCTAAGTAGTAATTTACTTGACTGCGGTATTGATTTTCTAAAATCTACGAACAACTACATAGAAGAGGTTGAAACCATTTATTAACTTCTGATGTCAAGTGGGTTGAGTCACTTAGTTTAGAAAACACACTGTGAACTTGACTTATCTAACCAGTGCTATGGATTAAATAGCATAATATTATTGACTACTTAAGAGATAAAATATTACAAGTATTTTTCCTAATTTAATGAAAGCGGAAGTAGTATTTAAAACATCTAACCAGTTTTCGTTCTATACCTCAATAAAGTCATTTCTAATCTTTATTCTGCAATAATTCAACAAAGAATATTGAAATCTAAACTTATTTTATATCAAATTAAACTTTTTAAAATGTCATCAAACTACTTGACTTCATAGATATAAACTCTAACTACGTATCTTTCTCACTAGAATTCAATTTTCTAGACTAAATCAATGTTGATACTGAAACTGTGTATTTTTCCTCCGAATGATCAGTTTTGTATATAAACTGTAAAGGTCAGATTTATACTTTTTTCCACTGACCGATAATTGCGTGTCTTTCATCTTCTAATGAAAATCAATGTCAAATCTAGCTAGAGCTTTTTGAAACTCTTGTCATGGCCATATTAAGATCCTTCATGTTTGGTGGAAATATTCGATCTTAAATTACAGCTTATGAAAACATTATTCGCAAGATTTTAATATATTTTTACAATATTTTGTGTTAATGTCAAATACACAGTTTAAATATTCTAATCATTTTTATTGATATATCTAATCGATAAACTTAGTGTATTTTGTTTAATTACATTGGGTCAACACTAAACAGCTTCATCTACAGAACGTGCTTTAACTCTAGTTAGAGTTAGAGAAAAAAAAGGATATCAATAGTTTCGTTCATGGCATTGTAGTCAGGCATCGGTTGCAATGCTGAAAGCTACTTTTAAATATTGAACTAATTTCCGAAAACCACCTAATTTAAGATTAAAACTACCGTTAAGTGAAATCAAACTCAATGTAAAAAATAGTAAGAGTTGTTTAATTCATAAAAATTAAATCAATATAATTTAAACTCACTTCCATTCAGATCTCGAGTAGTTTTTACGTTACCATAGTCTCAAAGTACATCTGATTATTATTCTATCATATATATATATATATATATATATATATATATATATATATATATATATATATATATATATATATATATATATATATATAATTGGTAATTACCAAATATTAATGTTTTTGATTAAGGAAAAAGGTGAAGTAGTACAAGAAAGAAAAAACTAATTTTCAATAAAAAAAAAATTGAAGATTATTAATTGATAGTATTTTAAAATCATCACCTGACTCAAAAAATGTTTTAACAATCAAAGTATAAATTATGATAGTACAGATTACATTTGAATGTGATTGAGCCCTAATCAATTGAATGAAGCTTATAAAGAAATTAGTTAAATTTAAAGGCCATATTCGATACAAATCGATCTGTGTCTTGTTTTGATATGGGACTTTTCAGCTACATGTATTCATTAAACCCGCATAACTTTAAGGTTTGGACGTTAGCACATAAACATTAAACAATTGATTTTTTTATCCAATGATTTACATTTCCAACCTGAATAAAAACTTACAACATAGAGCAACGATCATCTGATACCATTTATTACTACTATTTTACTACTGTCGTGAGTGTTTGCCATTGTTCTCAAAGTAATTCACTGGTAGTGGACTTCTAATTATAGTATTGTTGATTGAGTTTTTTTGAGAACTAGTTTTATTTATCATTGTTTTTTTCAATGACCATAATATTGCACAACCTTTAGTTTGATGCCTAAAATCGTAGGACCGTAAGGAATGAGTGTCCTAGTCAATACATCTTGATTGAGTTGCCACACGATATTCAAGCCCATTCACCAAATTGAGTTATCATTTGAAACTTCGATTTAGTCGCTACTGGACCTTAATTTAGCTTTAAATGGCTAGTAGCGATTTCTAAGAAGTCCTAAAAGCATATTTACATTTCAAAGTGTAGTAATTGTGGTAGGAGCAAAGCCAGAAATGCATGATTCGAGTTTACAACTAGTAAACTGTAAAGGAATCCTGTTTAAAGACAACAAGTTAAAAATTAATTCCATTGAATTGATAAATTGTAATCAACATTCTTAGTAGATGGCAGTATTTGATTAGCGTTTTATTTAAGTAATTATTTTCCTATTTTACTCATTTTGTTGTTGTTGATGATGATTACTCTTTTCTTTTACTTATTACTATTATTTTTTACTTTTTGTATAAAAAAAAAATATAGTTTGTGATACCTTTTATGGCAACAATGCATCATTGTTCATTACGTTCATGTCTACTTGTTGAACGTGCACTTGTACGTTTATTGAATACTGTTTGTGCAATATTATCAACACAATTTAAACATGAACTTGTACAAAATAATTCTACAACTTCATCTTATCCACTTCATCATGAATATTATAGCGATAACAAAAATAATGATGCTTTACTTTTATTTCGACGTATGTGTATGGGTGTAGTGGATTTAAATCAAATTGATACTAGTTTAACATCTGATTTACAGCATACTACTAGTACTACTACTACTACTACTGATAATAATAATAATAATAATGATTCAAATAATTTTAATTGGGAACGATGTAATTCAACTACAAGTGCGGGATTGATTTCATCATTGAAAGTAATGGATTCTATTGATTGGGCAATGTGTTTCGAATCGAGTAAATTCGATATAGACAATGAATTTCATCGTATTAATAATAATAATAATAATAATAACAATAATGTATTCCAATCTGATTTTGATGAATCACCTTTATATGATACAAATAACAATAATAATAATAATAAATTGGCAACTATCGATTCTATTTGTGATCTATTAGCACCGTATATTTTTAGAGATGGAGATTTAGGCTGGCAAGCTAGAGATTCACTTTTATTGATTGCAGCCTATTCACTAAGAGATGAAGAGTTTAGTTATAGTATTGCTAAATATTCATCAATTTGTGCAGTAAGTCATTATTATTATTACTGTTTTTAATTAATGTTTTTAATTATTAGTTGAGGTGGGTAATGGAATAGAATACAAGATGCACGTTCTGTCCTATTTATGACTTGTCAACTCGATGCATCTGCATCCCAGAGTTGATATTCACTCCGGAAATTGAACCCAGTACAGTACCTTATGCTTCTAACGCCGTTGTGTTACCGGCCAAACTACTGAATTCAGATAGCCACTCAGTTGTGCAATCTAAAAAAGATTAATTCATTTTTATTGGTTGTTTGAATCTTCTCAGTGATGTTAAGAATCGATCAATTGATCAGTTTCTTTTGGTATATGTGCAACATATGTGGATTGTTTCGATATTGCCTCTTAATTTATTTTAATCCACACAGAATGCACACATTGTGAAAGGGATTATTGCCAAAAACGAGCCAAATATGTATTTTTTTAAAAGTCTGTTGCGAATTTTTAAACTGTTTATCTACCATTGAATCAGCGCGCTTCGTAAATACCACATATTTTCCTTGGGTTCAGGGAGAATAAACCTTTTTCTTTTATCTTCTCATGGTTCGGAGGTTGGGTCGTGAGTCATTGAGAGTCTAGTGCAAGTTAGTTAAGGTGTATTTGTATTTTATCCATTCAGTCAATATTTCCTTCTATGTAGGTAGTCTCGGTTTTAAAACTAAATAAAGTTTAATGAGTACCTACTAGAATAAAATTCTTCAACATGATGTAACGTGATCTTGTCCTTCATTCTAATAATTTCATAACATAACATAACTAAGAATTTTTATAGAACATGTATAAACTTGCTTTTAGTATATCTACAAACATATATATATATATATATATATATATATATATATATATATATATAACGTGCATTTTGTTTGGATTTGTTTGTTTCACGTACAATTGTGAATTATCTATGCTTGACTTCGAACCACAATTTTAGTAAGATGGTTTTCGATGCTAATACATTGTGCAAACTGAATTAAATAGAGCATGGTTTAAACCTCCTGCTGAGTGATATAAAGTTGTATGCGTTGACCACTTTACCACCACTCAATCAGTCATTTACAACTTAGAACTTCATACGTACCTACATAAGTTCAGGATTCCATACCACATTACCACCACTCGTTATGTATTTATATATATAAAATAAAATATGATTAAAATTCATTTACAACATTAAAAAACTTTTTTTCTCTATACTCTTTCCTCCTCTAGGTAATTGCTACTGGTTTAGGAATATTGTATACAGCTTTACCATATCGTTTAGTAAATAATAATTCACCAGAAACTTGGCCAATACTTATTCGTACATTGAATACAAATCAATTAGCCAGTGCACATTTCAATGAATTTTTAAATGCATTGGATTTTTGTCGTTCATTACTTGAGGTATTTTTGTTGTTGTTATTGTTGTTGTGTGTGTGTATGTGTGTATTCACTGTTCCCTATTTTTTCTTTCCAATTAAACATACAAAACTCATCAAATGTGAATAGAAAAGTGAACCAAGTGTTAAATAAATCACGCCTGATATATACACATATATATATGTATATACAATTTAATAGTAGGCTAGTCATTTTCAAAAGATGAATCATTCTTATTGATTAGCCATTTTATGCACTCAATTTATTCATTGTGTCACAATCATGTTCTATTTTATTTCTATTAATAATTGATTTTATGATTGATTCAGTATATTCGTCTGTCAACAAATGTTATATTGTGCCAAATGGTTTTTTTTTGTTTGATTCAACATCATGATTGATTGTTAGGCGGCTGGAGGCAGTCGACAGGAAATCCTCATCCAACATAGGTTTCGTTCTTGCTGACACTTGTTGGCAAGGCCTACTTGTAATCTAAGTGGATTGATACTCTTCATGGGATGCAAACCAAAGATTGAGATGTTATCAGACTATGAAATTGGGTGATATGAGGTGCTCAAAATTAATGAGTATCAACTAACTCAAAATCTAGATTGAAAAGGACTTCCTTCTGAAGTGTTTCCAAGCACTTAAAAGATTTCAGTTAGTCTGACGGCAAACAACTGAAGCTCTTTATATTTCATTATATATATATATATTATATGGTATTTTTGCCGGTATATTGTAATGTTTCGATCTCTTCTAACTAAAGTTTCTTGAAGATTCTCCAAGTTTTGTTCTTGACTAATTGCTTACTTTAAGTTCCGATATTACGTTATTAATTCCAATATCATAAAATGTTTCAAAGGAACCATAAGTTCATATTTTTATGTAAATGAAACAATCCTAAAAACAATTCGTTTCAATGGCTTGAATTGCTTATCAGTTTGCTATTCTAACAATGACTGGGTTTTTTTCTGACCATTAGACTAATACTCCTGGCAACCAGTTAATGAAATCTCACTATGGTATAGTGAGCAAGTTTACTGGATTGGTATCTGTTGATAATTTCCAAGTCTAATGGATAATATTCCTAACCTCACCAGAGATTGATCTTCTTATTACTTTCATGCTAAATGATCAGAGCTTGAATTTATTGGCATTATATACTAGTTCAAATTTCCAACCTCAGCCGATTCATAGTTGTCCACTGTTATCAGTGGAACTTATCTCAAGTTCAAATATCATTGAATCCTGTTTTGTTTTTCCAAAACGACTTATCCATTCAGTTAATGCAACTCAGTGATGTTATTGAACGTACTATTGTGATTGTTGTTACTGCTTTTGGTCATGATTTTTAATTCGTTTGTTAACTAATGATAATAAAGTCATACTATTTCAGTTAGTAACGAGAATATACATTCATTTTCTACTTTTATTTTTACCAGATTGCTCATCCCCTGATACAATCGTGTCTCTTACACTGTATACATACTATCTTCTTTGTTTCTATCATTGGACCAGCTTTAACGCAGGTAAATTGTAGATTTATGTATATATATATATATATATATATATATATATATATATAATATTTTCAGTTGTTCACTTTTTTAGGTTATTAGCTTTATCAGTCACCATTGTAACGTCGATAGAAATGAATTTACTATACCGATTGTTATTTTTAAAGCGATAATGTAAGGTATGGGATAGTTTTAAAACTCTTGAAAAACATTTGCCATGTAGATCCCAACCAGGTTATCTGCAGATAGTATAGTATTAATATCATGGACCGTTGGTCTGTTTTGATTATAGCGTCTAGCTTTCTTCTGACTTACTCTTCTATTCTTGCAATAATTGCACGTCAAGGTAGACAATGTTTTAATATTCGAAACATGTTCGAGCCGCTTAAGTCGATGTAAATCTGTTACATTACCAACTGATTTACGTCTTTGCGCAAATTCGAAATTGCTTACTTGTTCGTTCCATGAAATGGAAAGAAAACCTCAAAGACACTTTTGGTCAATAACCTGCCACCTTCATCTGTTTTTTACTTTCATAAGGTATGTTTCAAATTCATAGAATAATCGGGAGTCGACTATCGTATAATATACTTATCATTTAGTTAGTGGATGGATATCTTTCCTATACCACAAGTGACGTCAGTTGGATTAGGCCTACCGATCTATCTAAATCCTTGATGAGATTTCATTAAATACCAGCCCACTAAGATTAATGATATTTCCAAGATAAATGAAGTAGTCAGCACTATTAGCTGTTTCATTCTATCTGATTAATATAGGTGTTGATCCAGTCTAGTTCTGAAAAAGTCAGTAGTCTCTAAATTTTTTGATAGTTTTCACAAAGTCCGTGGTCTTTGTCTGCATTTTTCACACCCAACAAGTTGAATCTCTGAAAAGTTTGATGTAATAAGTGTTATTTTGGAAAGAAGTAACCAACTTCTGAATATTTCATACTATAAAGACGAATTAACAAAGGTTTATGATTTCAGTTTTTATACTTGTTGATCAGACTACCAGCCTCTGTATATAACCTGAATAAACCGCTGAAAAATTCCCGCCTTAATTTAGTGTTTTCAATTAAAAAGATGTCATTATAGATGGTCGTTCAGTTAATGTGGTTTAGTACTTACTACTTTAAAACAAAAATAAATCAAAATAAGTAGTATTCTTTCATCAACCAATCAATCAATCATTATCTATTTAAATGTATAATTAAATAATCAAATGAATCTTTTTCTTATAATCGACACAAAATCATTGAATTTCAATTGTAATAAGTGTTTCCAAAATTACGAATGAATGACTTACACAATTCACTCCTGTTATGTTTCTTTATCTCTCTCTCTCTTTCTCTCTCTAAAAGGTTTATTCTAAAACAAACCTGGCGAATTAGTTTCAAAAAAACATGAATATACATTAGTACTGTGTGTTTTACTCTTTGAATGATCTTATTTTCCTTTCTAATGATTACTTTAGATTTCATTAATTAATTTGATTATTTATTGTGATACACAGGAAATCAGTAACAAATTCTGTCAAAACCAAAAGCCATGGCTTTCATTGTGTCAGTGATAATTATTCATCATCAGTATAGACTTATGAAGATGATTAAGTTTTATGAAACTTATGAACTAATCATTGTTAGGCAAACTAGCTTGTGGGGTCATAGATGAGCACTGCTAAGGAGTCCCATACTGTTGGACGAAACGGCTGTCTAGTGCTTACAGGTTTTGAATGGTGGCCTAATATTGATCTGCACTGGATTTCAATAGTTGTTATTGTTATTAGGTTTGTTGATAATGATGAATTTAATTTCTTTATTCGAAGAAATGCGTGAGTTAATTAAGTAATAGTGTAACATATACATTCTTTTTCTTAATAAGAAGTCAAACACATGACAAAGAATTAAACGGCTATACAGATAGACGAACATTTTTTTGTTGATTCTATGACTGACTTTAGATTACTTTATGTCTGTGAAACATGGTCAGTAAGAGTAGAGGAGATTCGTAGGCTATTAGTATTCGATTATAGATGTCTTCGAATCATTGCACGTTATCCTGGGATAATCGAGCAGGCAATGCAGTTGTTAGGAAAAGAATACTGGGTAAGGATGGCAAATCAATTAATGAAGTGATGAATCTTCATTTGCACTGACGAGCTATGTTTTGTGGTATAGGAGTAGGTTGGAAGAAAGCTAGGGGTGGCCAGATTAAACATGGAACAAGTCCATAAAGTCACTGACAAGTGGACTGAGCCATGTTGGTACGTGTACACTACCTGGTTGGGGTCCGCGAGATGGTAGTAACCAATGGTTAGAGACCTTGAATGACATGGCTAAAAGTCGTTTTGAATGGTGCAGGTGTATCCACTCTTTGTGTTCTGTAAATTCTAATCTGAATTCCTCATGACCTTTGTCTTTCTTTTCTCAGGCTTATTTCACTAGATTATACTCTTTGAATAACATCTTCAAACCCTAATCTTTCCAATAACTGCTCATACCTTTACTACTATAGGATTCGAATTGACAATTGCGACCCTGTGCTACTGTGTTATGGCACTTGAACTAATGTACGTACGTACGAAGTCCTACATTGTTTCTGACTTTATATTAAACATGAATTAGTTTATGATGAACACATTGAATTCCTTAACCTAAGACAAACTGGTCACTAATGGTAGAAAAAGAAAATATTCATTGCTTGCTGTGAGATGGTTGGTTCGTGTTAAAAAGCCCTTGAGTATATAACACAATAGTTTATTTAAAAGAATTAGAAGCTATGGACGATGTGCTACGTATGATCAACCACCGCCTACTTCAGCGTCCAATGTTGACTGGATTAAACTAGACGAAAGATGGGAGCAACAAAACCAAGAATTAGCATCTATCCATAAAGTCATTGGCTGCTGATCCGAACACAAAGTCTGTATCATCATGGTGCCGAATGATTGAAGATATTACAATATCCAGATCAAGATTTCCTCAAATTTTGAGTTGCATACATAATTTTTTACTCCGTCCTGTCAAATCACATTCTTATTCTTCAACCTTCCTTACTATCATTGCTACTGTCTTTATTTGTACTCCTTTACTAATTATGTTGTATCAACACCTATATTAATTACAGTTAATTGATTAAGCCAATAATCACTGAGTTCAAGTGTGACTGAACTTGGAACCCAGTAATATGCGCAAGATTGATAGAATCCAATAGCCACTAAGGTTAAGAAAGTATGATATCGATTACTGTTCAGTAGTCATTGAATTCTAATTGTCTCAGTCATTCTAGAGGTCACTCGCTAGTTGGATAGTTCAGTGGTAATGTCTCAGACTAAACAACAGAAGAACACAGAGTGCATTGGTTGCACCAAGATAATAGATGTGCTCTGTTAATAAATGTCAGTTTGCACGAAACATATGTTAAGCAGAACTTTCTACCAAGTACCTCACTCTAATTTACATTACAAGGTCCAATCTAGGTCATTCAGCTGTTGACACATACATAATATCCAATACACACACTAGTTAACTTATCAGATACGGCGGATCCGTGTATTTAGCTGTTAGTTGCTACACTCCAATTGTAAGAACTAATTAGTGATACTAATCAGTCACCCAAACCATTATGGATGAAGTGAGTTTGGAACCTGTCTTTTTTTAGTTGGAAGTTGAGCAGTTTAACCAATAAACTATATGAGGAATGGTTTATAAATATCTTGTTTATTTGCTGGTTTACATTTTACATTTAGCTATGAGAACACAAATGTGTATTGAATTAAATCAGATGACATTACTAGAATTGTCTTTTCTTAATTATATTTATTATCATTTATGTGATAGAAACAGAAATCTTCTTTTTGTCTCGTTTTTATAAAATTTATTTTCAAAATATCAGTCTACTAGTATGACGTCAATATATATGTTACAAAGTTTACTTAAATAATGTAGACTTTCTTAAATATACATTTTAAAAAAATGTTCAAGTTAGAGTATTTCCTCTATATTGTTTAATATTCTGGGTTTTTTTTAACTATGATATCTTTCAATTGGGACAGCGTTGACTTACTTGAAAGTGAATGGTTTTGTTCGTTCTCTTGTTATGGTGTTTAAACTAAAAATATATATGCTAGGAATTTCATTATTTACCGTCTACCTTGATGTTTATTACTGTCTCCGAATAATTGTTGACATCTATCTGTAACACTATGTTAGTAAAACGAAGGTTTGTCAATCTATGTTCGGGTATAATGATGATGCTTCTTCAACTAGCGTTACCATGTTGATGATATAATAATAATTTCAGTAATTTGGACATGTTTTACAAATTTCATTGCGGCATCTTTCACATCGTCTATAAACTAACAACTAGAACAAAAAATTTCCCAAAGACCATGCATATATTCATGATTAAATAAAGAGCGCTTTCATCATGATAATAATAATAATCATTATTATTATTATTATTATTCACTTATTATTTTATCATTATCAGCTATTATTAAATTTATTTAAATATGTGAAACACTTTTGAAATTTTACTATTAAATTAATCAATATTATTTTTCTTACAATAGAAAGAAGGTCAAGTACTCTTTTACCCTTCTCTCTTTTATTTTAATTACTCGTTTAAATTTTATGCTAAATGATAAGTAGTACTTAAAAAAGTATTGTTAGTGTCGATATTTATTCTTTTTTTTAATAAATAGGTAGATAGATCTTTTCATAAACTGTTTATGGCTATCAACATGAAATCGATCTAATTCTATCTCTAAAATGGTATTCAGGTAACTGGTGTTGATTGAACATCAATCCCCCTCATGATTCCATGTATCCTTCATTGAAAGTAGTGTTAACTAGCATTAAACTTAGATTTACAGTTTCCTACCAATTGCCACTCATCATCTAACATTGTTTTACATAATTTTGTTAGATTCAATACTCACTCACTGATCACTCAGTTTGAATATTTGTAATAGTTTTAGGTTTTGACAGTTAAAAAACAATTTCTGAACAAATAATAAAAGCTAGTATATGTTTTTGTTTATTGATCAATTTACTCATTTCTCCATATTTAAACTTATTCTGTATTTTTCCATTTTTAGAAGGCTCCTGAAGATGTGATCACAGCTACTGTTTATCTAGAACAATTTATCATTCATACTGTAGGCTCTTCATTACTTCCTATACTATTACGATTTCTATTGATGAAACTACCGTCTACCACTATAGTTGATGCCGATGCACACATTAATCAGACAACAACAACTTCAACAACAATAAATAAAGAAATTAATCCTACTGGTTCTTGTCAAGCATCTCCGACTGACGAAACATTCTCTAAAGATGATGATGATAATAATTCATCTGTATTTTCACCTGAATCTAATAATAATAATAATAACAATCCATCATTATTCGATGATAATCAATTCATTACTTCTAATAGTATAACTTATATGGATTTAATCATTGCTCGTATACATCAATGTAATAGTTTAGTAAGTTATTTATACATGTATTCTTCAAAGTCACTCTTTGTTTTTGCCTGAAAGTTCAGATATATCTACCTCCGTAAAGTCTCTAGAGGCTCAGAAAGCTACCATTACTGTTGACTAGGTGCTTCCCATAAATATCTTTACAATGAAACATTAGGCATCACATTTTTGATTGGATTAATACCTATACAGTAACTATATTTAGTATGGTTCATTAAAGTTCTATGAGTTCAAGGTTACATAGAACTCTAAATACTATTGATTTTCTGTACTTAACCAAACTTTTACTCGAATTTCGCTCCTTCACTCTTTTGTTTGAGTTAACGTGTAGAAGTAGTTCATGATTATGGGTCGCGACTAGGAAATTGATAATAGGTGTCCCAAACTGAATATATCTCTCCTTTTCGACTACTACTAATTTGGAATTTGTTTCAGTAATTTTAACTCCTTCTACTGATGTGATGTGGCAACTTGGACCAGTACATATATGTGCTGTGTTCTACTATGTTCATGACTGCATGCCTGATCTCGTATACGCTTGGAAAGTCTCCAATAATCTTTGTTTTTGCTTATGTTTTAAAGAATTATTTCAGTTTTCACTGAAATTCATGATATCCACACTGAACTATTCTGTGATTGATCATTTACTTTTTTAATTTGGCATTTTGTTGTTTTCCGGAGACTATTGACATATTATTTCAAACAAGTTCGTTTTATATTGCCTTATTTGTGTTTTCATAAGAAATTTTGAAGCCCTTTTTTCTTCCATGTGACGTAATATACTAATTTTCCGAATCATAACTTCGGATAATAAACAATCATCTTCAAAACTTATATCTTATTTCACTTTTATCTCCTTCAGCCATCGAACAACTATTGTTTTATATACATGTACATATAATTCTTTTCCTATTTCATTGAAGCATTATATAAATGTGCATTCAATCGTTCTCGAAATTTCGATTTCGCGGTGTTTTACGAATTAATTGAAGTCTTAATTTTCACCATTTTGATAATGAATCTATGCTCCAATGTTTAGGCTTTGAGCATATGTTCTGGACGTTTCTGGATCCGATTGCTGGTGCACTTACCTTCTTACTTACGCCTGTTACCCCTAATGAAGCATTGGCCGCCGACCAGCATTCTCCAACCTACACGGTCCTTGACCTTCTTTTCCACTTCCGCCCAACTACTGTCCTTTCCTTTCACTTAGGTCTCTAATTTCAGTCATAATGTATTGCTTGATCTTCCGCTTTTCCGTTGGCCTCGGGAGGACTTATCTTGTGACGCAGTTGAATGATTTCCTCAGTGTTTGTTCTATCCACCTACATCGTTTTTTCCTGATTTCCTCCTCTGCTGGAACCTGGTTTGTCCTCTCCCACAGTAGGTTGTTGCTCATGGTATCAAGCTGACGGATCCGCTTTATCTTGCGTAGAAAATTGTTAATAAACACCTGTATCTTCTAGATGATGGTTTTCGTGGTTCTTCAAGGCTCCGCCCCAAACTTTAGAACTGTCTTGATGTTTATATTGAAAATTCTGACTTTGGTGTCGATTGAAAGTAGTTTTGAGTTCCAGATTTTCTCCGATTATAGAAATGCTGCCGTTGCTTTTCTAATCCGTGTCTTTACATCGGCATCATATCCACCTTGTTTATCACTGATGCTTCCCAGATATTTAAGGGCTTTTACATCCTCCAAGTTTCTCCATCAAGTGTGATTTCGTTGGTTCACGTTGTCTTGGATTGAGGGATCTTGCTTTTTCCCTTATGTATGTTGAAACCTACTGCTGTAGAAGCTGCTACTACACTGGCTGTCTTCTCCCATATTTGTTGTTGCGTGTGGGAAGGGAAGGCTAGATCATCTGCGAAGTCTAAATCGTCCAGTTGCTTCCTTGATTTCTATTATCCCTTCTTTCTCCTCACATGTTGACGTATTTCTAATCCAGTCAACCACCAGAAGAAAGAGAAAGGGTGGGAGTAAACAGTCTTGCCTGATACTGATCTTTACTTGGAACAAATATATGAGCTACTCTTCATTCACGATCTTGCAGTTTAGCCCATCGTATGAATTCCGCATGATTTTGACTATCTTCTCAGGCACTCCATAGTATCATCTTATTCAGCGGATGTGTCTAATTTTGGGGTCAGAAGGCTGGATTCCGCGATGGTCGATCATGTACCGACCAAATCGCGACACTACGAATCATTTTGGAACAACCAATTAAACGGAATTCATCAACGAACATTTCATTCTGTTTAACAGCACTCTGTTGAAGAGCTTTCCCTCCGTTGAGAGTAGAGTGATTATTATGTAGTTCTCATACTTACTGAAATCTCTTTTCCTTGGTATTTTGATGAAGTAGCTTTCTGTTCAGTCTGTTGGTACTCATTCTTTCTCCCAAATCTTGTTAAACAGAACTTGGGACATCTTTACAGTGACTGCTTTTCGGTGAGCTTTATTAAGAAAAAATAAAGGCTACAACATATCTGATTTACAGTTTATCTTATTCATTTAATCTCACTTTATCGTATTATGAGGCGCTTTCAGAGTAAACTAGCAGGTACACACAGACCACAAATAATAAATCATGACTAGTTGAGTTTAAACTTGTCAAAAGTAAAAACACTACTCCTTTGTAGTATTGAGACAATCATTATGCTATATTACGAATGTATATTACTGGACCCTAACACAATAATAATTCTAATGAATAGGTGCTCGTCATGCGTTTTTTTAAAAATGAAAAACACAACCTGTTAATTGTATCAATGATTACATTTTCTCATCATTTGTATTTTCTTTTTGACGAAACAAGCACTAAATGTTGTTCTGTTGGGAAAAAAAATAAGTGATTGTTCTTAAGTATTACTTTTACTATCATGACATTTACTTCTTGCTTTATAATTGTGATATAATTCTTTCATTTCCTTATTTGGAAAGCAAATTAATAATCATATAATAGATCAATGATAAAAAATATTTGCCTTGTAACATACAAATGATTTTTGATTTAAGTTTTGGGTGTGACCAGATCATTGTCTAATTGTATTGATTTTTTTTTTCGGTTTGTGGACAGAGTATAGTTATGAAATAAATGATATGATTTTTTTAACAACATTTTTGTGTTCGCTTACTTTGACTGAAATAATTTCCACACAGTGAGAGTAAGAGAGAGAGAGAGAGAATTATGTGTGTGTTATTTTTTGATTAATTGTTAGGCGTATTTTTTTCGTTTTAATAATAGTTTATTACATAGGCATTATCTCTGTTCTCATGAATACCATGTACATTACTCAAATAATATTGATACTATGAAGATTTCGGTTTGTATTATTCTACAACTGTCATAAAATGATCAATTAACATAGAATATTTCCATAGTTCTCTTCTACTTAACTATGGTTACTTTTAGAATGTTATTGAGTTCGGTGATAGAACTAGACGTGTGCCTAATAATCTTCATTCTACTCTCTTTAAACATCAAAATCAATCAATCAATTGCAAGTAACATGACTCTCACTGTAGTTCAAATAAGTTGTTCAGTAATACCTAATGCTTCCATTGAATTGTATGTTTGTTTTAATGAAATTCTTGACTACTGCTCTTGATATTATTATTATTGTTATCATTTCGATTCCTGTGGTATTAATACCTCATTACAATGATGAGATAATTTTGAAAAATTCGGTTAACAGAATTTCATACTTGATCTTACCCAGTTTTGACAACTAATTATGATATCGAAAAAATATATAAAGATAAAGTTGCTGCATATTTAAAGATAAAACTGGTAATTAGTGATCATTGAATGGTTGTTTTTATTCTTGTGCAATATTTTTCATTAAGCACATAAGCCTGGCTTGTATGCTTCGACTGTGCTTGTTGGTTGACAGTAATCGACAAGAAACCTCACACGACCTAGGTCTTACGTTAATTGGCACTCGTCAGCGTGGTGTACCGATAATCTAGAAAGAGCTGATCCTCTTTGTAGGATTTAAATCACTTTTATCCAATTTCACAGTCTAAAATGTTTGAGCCTGTAGAACTGAGATATTTATGTTTCAATTGTGTAAAACTAGTTAACCATGAATCTTAATTGGTAATTGGATCAGTTTTCGTTTTTTAATAGTGCTCAAATGAGATTCATTGAAAACAAATTTGATGCAAATAAATTGCCTATATTATTCGTTCAAATGACTTCATTAACACAGGATAAACTCACTAAAATAAATACTAACTATTGATAGTGATAATAATAATAATAATTATGATTATTATTGCATTTTTTTACTGAAATGGTGCAATTCAAGTGAAAGTGCTTTTTTGACAATGATTTTGAATTGACATATGGTAGTGAACGTAAAATACCACTGGTCATCTAATATGAACAACATCATGCAATTAGCCTACTAATTACTAAATATATGACTTCCTTTTCTGCCATTGTTTTCTAGCTTGGATTCACTGAGAGTGACACCATGTAATTGTGCGGAATCAAAATATTGTCTGCAGCTTACTCTTGTTCTCTATTTTACTAATGAATCTGTCAATGTGATTTAGTCTCTGTGTAGTTTACTGCTTGAGTATTCAGTCCAGTGGTAGTGTGAACTTGGTCACCCAAACCAGCCTCATTATCACTGTCAACAGTTAAAGAAATATATTCGGTAACTACCATTATGTCATACTGACATAATCAGATATATATAGTTTGCCTTTAATGAGTCGTTTACTGTCATATTCAACAGTGACAATATCAATAAAACTATCTTTATTCTATCAATTATTGTCATTTTCAGTAAAATTTATCAACTAATTGTTTCATCATAGTCTACTGAACGTATATTAACTAATAAAAAAAATAAATAATGTTTGTGAATTTATTCAATAAATAAAATGCATTAAATTAACTTTAAGCAACAATAATAATAACAACGACAACAAAGCTGACCATAAATCAACACTAAACAACATTATTTGAAATTTTATCAGTAATATATTGACTCACTTATAGTCATATATATATATATACTCTTATGTTCAGGTAAACAGTATTGAAAGCAAAGTTCACAAGTTTTCTGCTATGTAAACATATAGAAAATAGATTTCTTGTAAATTAATAATTAAAAATCTATTTTTTTTTTGTATTTCAAAAAAAAAATAGCTCGGTATCACAACTATGTCATTGATGAACACCATTATTGATCTACATTGTGAAGATGTCATGTTCGTCCTTGTATTAAAGTTAGTTTTAATTTTATTGGTTAAATTGTTTTAATTTTCTCGAGTTTATGTTTTTTTGGGGGGTGGGGTGGTGTAGATGTCTAGTATAACAACAAGTGTAAAGCAATCGCAGTGAATTTCCAGCTAGTTTCTTGTCAAATAAAAAGAAAAAAACAATTTTTGTCATTGAATAGTGTTTGTATCAAAGAAAACCATAGTATTGAAAAAACACAACTAATAAGTTTATTAAGGTCTTCTATAGATTACTCTATTCTCTCTCCCTGCTTATTAATCGAAAAAAACGAATAATTCTAAACTCGTCCTTTTAGATATATGCATTGTCCATCTTCTGTATATCTTAAAATGATTTAAACAGATTGTTAAGAGTCTTCACATTGTTAGATACATACAGTTAAAAGTTTGCACCACAAACTGACATTAGCCATGATGTAAGAATGCTGTGTAGTCACATAGGTGAGTTTTACTTATAAATATGAGTGGTACTATGTGATTAATTTATTCATAAAATGCAGTATGACTAAGTTAATGATTTGTGGTGGAGGGGGGTTAACATTTTCTTGTTTTATGTTCAATCTACAAAAACAGATATAGGTATTCAGTACGTCCAGCACTTATCTTCACTCCGTGTATATAAAAAAAAATTTTTTTCGCTATCATTTTATACATCTTTTACAGTATACTGAGATATTTCTTTGTCTAGTTATTCGCGATATTTGAAAGTCACATCCTCAATTCTAACTACCTTGTCCCTATATCAATACTTTTTTATCGTATTTTTTCATTCCTCTCATTTCAATCACAATAACGGTTGTTTATTCATCATACACTTAAAATTATACATAGGCGTGGCGTAATTCTATTTTAGTTTAAACATGTTTCAAATTAATTTTTATTGTATTGTTAAACAAGGAATATATTGATTCCTCCCCAAAAAGTGGAATACTCCGAAACTCAAGGTTAAACAACAAACAAACAAACAACACATTAAACTGATATGTAAACTTGTCTATAATATGAATGATGAGCATTTATAAAATAATGCACTGGGCATGTCCTTGAAATATTAGCCAATAAGGTTTAAGTGTTTCTTTTGTTTTACTATTTTACATACATGATCATCATTACTATCTGCCAGTATTATTATTATTATTATTGGTGCACTCTTTGTGATATCGAAACATGAGGTTCTTTTCATGTAAATTTAATTTTTAAATAATTACTCTGAGTTTAAAAAAAACAATGCGTACTGCTACTGTCATCGACATCACAGTAGTTGTAAAATTAATCATATTATTCGAGAACGCCTGTTTGACATGTGTAGATGTTTATACACTCCGTAAAATTGTTCCACTTGTTTTCACGATTATTTCTTTTGATGTAGTTTATGAAATATTGTTAAACGTTACAAAACAGTTTAAGCAGATTTCATTGTCGATATTGTTTCAATCAGTTAGTTATAAAGAATATGTAAGATGTGATACAACGGTATTTATTTCACTCAAGTTACCACATTTAGTAACAGTATAAAAAGAAAAATCGATAAGTGTGAAGTAAAGGAAGGCTAAATAATGACATTTTTTATTATAAAAAATATCACAATTCCTAACGGTTTGAATTATCTCGATGTTACTATTTAGAAGTGAAATTCAGTTAATTTTTGTTGCCCTGTATACATTCTGTGTTGATTGACATTCTGTCAACAAGTTTAATTGAATCAATAGACTATGACTCGCAGTGAAAGTGTGAATGCTCATTTCGTCAAATTTGGTACTTATCAACCGCTTGTGCATACATCTCGATGTTGATCTTCAACACTGGGACTCGAACCCAATATGTTTCACATTAAACGCTAGTGCATTAACTTTAAAGCTACTAAATTCAAGTGGTTTTTCATACAGTATGATCTGTCATTTATTCATAAGATTTTGGACTTCCTCATTTTTGATCGGTATCATATATCGGTTAGCTTATGTTGTACATTATTACTCGTATGTAGTTTGGGAATAAGAAATTTGAAGTTGAAATAATTATCAAATTGATGAACTAATAAAAGAAGATAAAAATTGAAAAGATTTACAATAAGATAACAGATTTCCATGTATATTATTAATTGCCTCCAATAATATATGTACTAACATAATGCTTATACAACGAACCTTAATCTATATTTCAGTATGGATTAAATCCATAATCTTTTATTTCATATATATATATATTGATTATAACAATATCTTGATTCACCTAGATTTTACTATTTTTATGTCAATTCTTTTGTATGTTAGCCGATATCACAAATGTCATTGTAAGAAACAGTTAAGCATATTGTTTAAAATCTATCTATCAATTAAGTCACTTATTTTATTGATTTATTATTTTCAATAAACGATCGGGCATTATGTGTAGATGTTTACTGCTGTTATTTACACTTCAAGACATTTAGTAAATCAAGCAAACTTGAAAATCATACTGTATTTATATGCTTTTACCTATTAAATCTTATTCAACATTTAAGTTCAGAATTCTGCTAGGAAGGAAATCAATGTTTTGTAGTAGTCAATATATAGTAGATTTATCAATTTACTATAAAAGTACATTTGTAAAATATACATCTTATTTCTAAAAATGAATCAATACTTAATTGATTTACAGCACACATATAATAAAATCAAATTTAAATTATCTTACATAATAATTATTGACATTATTATTTAATCTAAAATATGTACAATATTTGTTAATATAGAAAGTTTGTTACAATTATTATAGAAGAAACTTTTTCCGTAATCCGTATTTTTGCATTATGAAATTATGGAGATTGTTGTTTTACACTGAAATCGTGACTCGCTTCGCGTGAAGATACCTGGAGTCCCAGTGAGAAGCTATGACTAGTGGAGATCAACCCTGTCCTATTTAGGCAGTAACTACCAAAGACAATGTATGAGGTTGCGCGAAACCTTAGATAGATCCAAGTTATACATTAACACCGTTGAATCTCATTGTTTAAGAGGTTAAGCGTTCTCGTGTGAGACAAAGGTCCTGGGTCCGATTCCCGTAGGTGGGGGCTTGTGGATGCGCACTTTTGAAGAGTACCATACTAGGACGAAACGGCCGTCCGGTGCTTCTAGGTCTAACAATAATCGATTCATGATATCGATCAAGAAAAACCTACAGGAAACTTTGTTCATTCTTATACAAAACTTTTCAACAGTACAAATTTATGATTACACTAGTTTTTTAGTTTTAATCTATAATTCGGCTTCAATAAAAAAGTCATACATTTGTTAACGTGTGAATTATACAATAATTCAAGATTGTTGTATGTTCAAAAGTAGCACTTACATTAAACCTTTCCTAGCTTTACTAATGAATATCATTATTTCATTTCATTTTTTCAGTTGTACTAATTGTAATGTGTACAAATAGATGGGGATTTTGAATTGGTAACTTAGTAATTTATGAGTGCACGTGTTGAAAACAATGGAAAGATTGGTGTTTATGTAAAATAAGGAACCTCCACTTTTTAAATGATAAATTAACTTATTGTACGAATTGTTTATGCTACTAACCTTGAAAAACTTAGAACAAAAAGACCGTTTGAAGAATAACACAACTGTCAAGAGGAAGGCGAAACATAAAACGGGGAACTTCTATCTATGCCCAAGAGCACTAAGATTCAAATTTTTGTTAAACACAGAAATTTGGAGGGGATTAAGGTATTCGATTAGTATTGATTTTGTATTTTCACGAAATCATTACATTTATTTTTGGGTCATTGATATCTACTCATTTATTTTAGGTATTTGATTTCGGTTAGAGATAATTTATTGAATATTGGATGGACATGGCCAGATCCTGGTAGTGTAACTGATGCTTCAACAAAACTACTCAATTTATCTTCAACATCATCTATGAAGTTTAATTTAGATTCAACTAGATTTGATACGACAACAAGTGAAACGACAGATCATCATCATCATCATTCAAAAAGTTATCAACACTACCATGAACAACACCAACAACAACAAGAATCTCATCGTCGAAGTAACACTGTAGCCCAATTAGATATTGATAATGTGGAAGAGCTTAACTACTCATCAGATCAATCAAATTCTAAAGAGTTACACAATAATAATGAAGGACTTGAAGTTTTAGGTAAGATATGGATGTTATATTTTCAAATGTTTGTTATTCGGTTGATTTAATGATTCATAACTCTTTTGTTGTAGCTTATTTTCTAAAAAAAATATCACAGCATAGATTGAGAAAGTATGGTTGACGTTTTTTAACCTTTATACTGTGTGGAACATGCATACTGTCCGTCTATCAGTTATTGTTCGTGTATCACATGGAACGATTGAGTGATCGATAATAAGGTTAAACTCAGTGTAATCGATTACTTGGTAAGACTGTGTACCTTCATCAACTGAAATGGTTCAGATATATGTTATGTATACCTCATCATCATCTAGCTTAATGATTATTGTCGGCTGGAGTAGAAGAAAGCTTGAGTGTAGCCAAACTAGTTTGTACATTTAACTGCTTGAAGATGTTGAGTGACATGGTTCAGAGTTGGGTACAGTGGCCCAGTAACATTTAATTTGTTTTTTTTCTTTACCTAAATCTTTAATTCTATTGTTCCTTCACAAATACTTTTTCACTTTGTCTTCCTGATCTATATTTTCGATTAATAAATCTTTCCGCCCTTTTATTATTAATACAACTTTTGTGTTCTTCATTCGGTTAATTTTTTGATGTGGAAATGTCAATTTTATGTTAACATATATTTGTGCTATTACTGTAAGTTGATTGTGTCTAGCTGAATGACTAATTTCAAACTAAGACGAAATATTTTAGAGTTAGACAAATTGATTATTAGGAATTAGCCTAATTATTTTATTTAGCAAGTTAGACCGAGTTGAGTTATATAAAACATCAAATGCAAACATGATTTTAATTAAAATGATAAAAAATTTATCATTCATCATGAAAATGAAGATTTTTTCTTCATAATAACTATCATTTCGAAAGAAAAAAAGATCACTTTTTCACTAAAATGAATGAAAACTGTAGTCAGCTATTTTTTAACAAGGTTATTGTAACTGAAACGTAATGATATTGTGGTGCGCGCTACTTATAATTAGTATATGACGAGAGTAAAAACGTAATGTCTGGCAGCAGAAGATGGGGGAAGATCAAGAAAGGAAGAGCGGGAACACAATGGGTTTGTATGAAACGCATGAACAGTGAAATGTCAGACAATAGATTGATGATGGATTGATATTTTGAAAATTAACGATTTACGATAGGGTTTTCCTATTTTACCAATTAACTCTGTAATTTGCGATAAATACAATTCGGTTGCCCTCACCTGTGTTCTCCTTCACTACAATATGACGGACGAAATTTGACCATTTCAAGTGTAAATCTCTTTAGATTGTAACACTTACTCTTAGTCAATGGTCGATAGATTTTATTTACTTGTTGTATTTAAAGAAATATTCATTCAGGCGTTGTTTTTTTTTCAACTGTCATAATTAACAACTTTTAATATTAAAATACAAATAAAACAATTAATACACTTGAAAACTTTGATACAGATACTTCAATATTGTATTGATAAATAAATTATTAAGCTCTGAAATCTATATTAACTATCTTCATGAACAAGTTCCAATGAGAAATTTTAGCGATAATTCCTCATTCTAACCGCCTGGAAGAGAAAACATGTGATTGTACAAAGAGGCTTAAACTTATACATCAATAAATATATCACCATTAAGCTATTCTCATGACAATTAATTCTATATACAGTTAAACTAATTATTGTAATCGTTCATTCACTATAAACTATTATGATTCAATGTAAATTTGAATGTTAATTCGGCTTAACATTTTAAACATACTTAGTCTTTTCAATATCAATATATCATGTAGAGAGAAATACTAGCGAGTAAGAAAATCCCCTGTAAAATATCCTGACAATATTTTTTTGCGATCATTCACATTAAACTTTAAGTTTATACTGCATTACAATGTTAAAATCGATTAATCACAAAGCATAAAATTTATTGAAAACTAATTCAATTAAAAATCATATTGATAAGGCAAGGAGGCGTAACTGTTTTTAACTGACAATTGAAATGACAAAAAAAAATAACCTAATCACAAATGAAATCTTTCGTTTTGTTTTGTTTTAACTAACTAATAACAATAAGAGTGTATGAATTTAAATAACAAAAATCATTTGAACATATTGAACATGAAACAAATATATCATCGTTGGTAGTGGTGAGTAATGATGGTGCAATATCACAATATGACTGAATTTACGAGAAAAAAAATAAATAAACTATTTACTTCTAACTTAGTGATCTATAAAGGTCAAGCTTAAAAGTTCGCATTTTGAATGTGGATTACCTAACGATTTGTATACTAAGACAAAATAGTTATTCAATATTTCCTGGTTAAACATAAACTATGTTTGGTGCATGTAATCACAAGCAAACACTAACTTAAATTGCACTGAGAATATTCAAATTTCACAACATTATATTATACTCCTATGGCTAACCAGACCATTATGTAGACTTTAGTTAGTAAAAGGATTTATTTGCTAAGCTGAATTACGCTCTACTTAACTAGATAAAGACACATGAAAAAAGATCTTCACTAGGATATATCCTTTTTAATTCCTTACCTTTCATATGACCTTAAGATAACACATGATATTATGCCTGGACATCCTCAGCCTTTTTACACAAACAGTACTTACTTACTTACGCCTGTTACCTCCAATGGAGCATAGGCCAAGGAATACGAAGTATTTTGCATAGACAACTGTTCATAAACACTTGTATCTTCTGGATGATGCCTTTCGTAGTTCGCCAAGTTTCCGCTCCATACAGTAGAACTGTCTTGACATTTGTATTGAAAATCCTGATTTTGATTTTGGTTGAAAGTTGTTTGGAGTTCGAGATATTTTTCAACTGTAGAAATGCAGCCCTTGCTTTGCCAATCCGCACCCTCACATCTGCATCGGATCCACCTTGATTGTCGATGATGCTGCCCAGATATGTAAAGGTGTTAATGTCCTCCAAGGCATCTCCATCAAGAGTGATTTGGTTTGTGCATGTTGTGTTGCATCGGAGAATTTTGCTTTTTCCTTTATGTATGTTGAGACCTACTGCTGCAGAGGCTGCTGCTACACTGGTCGTCTTCTCTTGCATTTGTTGTGGCGTGTGAGATAGAAGAGCCAGGTCATCTGCGAAGTCTAGATCGTCCAGCTGCGCCCTAACTGTCCAGTTGATACCGTGCTTCCTTATAGATGTTAACGTCTTCAGTATCCAGTCGATGACCAGGAGAAAGAGAAAATTTGAGAGTAAGCAACCTTACCTGACACCGTTCTTCACCTCGCAAGAGTCTGTCAGCTGACCTCCGTGTACGATTTTGCAGTTGAATCCATCATAAGAATTCCGTATAATGTTGACTATTTTCTCAGGCACACCGTAGTGTCGAAGAAGCCTCCACAGTGTTTTCCTATCCACGCTATCGAATGCTTTCTCGTAGTCGATGAAGTTGATGTAGAGTGGTGAGTTCCATTCAATTGATTGTTCCACAATGATCCGTAATGTTGCAATTTGATCAGTACACGATCGATCCTTACGAAATCCGGCCTGTTGATCTCGAAGTTGGGCGTGTACGAAGTCGTTCATTCTGTTTAACAATACCCTGTTTAAGACTTTGCCTGGTATTGAAAGAAGAGTGATGCCTCTGTAGTTCTCACACTTGCTGAGATCGCGTTTCTGTGGTATTTTGATCAGGTATCCTTCTTTCCAATCTGATGGTACTTGTTCCTCATCCCAAATCTTCTTGAAGAGGATGTGAAATGTTTTCGCAGTTGCTTCTACATCTGCTTTCATTGCCTCTGCTGGAATGTTGTCTGGTCTTGTTGCTTCCTCTCCATTGAGTAGATCCTGAGAGGCCTGGAACCTATTGGTGAGGGCTATCTTGAATTCGTTGAGTTTTACGGTATCCCGAAGAAAGGCCGTATTAAACTTGTGTGTTGTTGTCTGCCCCGTTGTCCAGTGCTTCTTTAGTTTCAGTTTCATTTGGACGATCAGCAAATGGTGATCTGAGGCTATATCAGCTCCTCTCCTGGTTCTCACATCCTCCATGGTCCTTCTGAACGTTTTGTTGATACAGATATGGTTAATTTGGTTCTGAGTAGTGTGGTCCGGTGAAATTCATGTGGCTTTGTGTATGCGTTTGTGCGGGAATATTGTGCCACCGATGACCAGTTTGTTGAAGGCACATAGGTTTGCAAATCTCTCACCGTTTTCGTTTCTTTCTCCCAGTCCATGTCGTCCCATGATGTCTTCATATCCAGTGTTGTCCATTCCAACCTTGGCATTTAGGTCTCCCATAAGGATCGTCAAATCCTTTGATGAGTATCAGTCGACGATTGACTGCAGCCTTTCGTAGAATTGATCTTTAACGTCGTCATTGTAGTCATTGGTAGGTGCATAACATTGGACGACGTTCATTGTAATGTCCTGTTTCTTTGTTTTGAAGGATGCTTTGATGATCCTTGATCCATGAGATTCCAATCCTATCAGTGCCTTTTGTGCATGTTTGGACAGCATCCGTGCAACTATTTGTGTATGTGAAGCATTTCCCTCTTCATGACCAGAGTATAACAGCAGTTCCCCTGAAGTTAATCATCACGCGACGTCATAATTCTTCTTCCAACTCTCAGGGCAGAGTTAAAATGCTCTGACTTATTTTTTCTGGTTAGCGTTTTTTGGCAAGTTAGTTTTTAGTTGGGATGGGGTCGCCAATCCCATGCCCAACCCTCCTTCTTTATCCGGGGGCTTGAGACTGGCAGTAGCCCCGAAGGTTCTACTGGCGGAGTTTCAATTTCCATCAAGATTCATCAAACAGTCTATAGAAGATAGTTCACTACGTTCATTTTCATTTTCAACAGTAAATTGGAAGTTTTCAGAGAATTTGTATATCAGTTGAATAGAAATGAATCGTTTACAACATTATTTAATTGATCTTGAATTGGTTTCAATATTCTACTTAAATATTTTGATGAATCATTCGATGGAAATGTTTGTAAAGTTCAATGGGAATCTTAAATTGATGTTAAGTTTGTGAATTTTCGGTAACACATAGAAATTATTTTTCAGTTGTTTTTTGCTTTATTATTTAAATTTCTGCAAATAATGATTTGTTAACTTCGAATAAATGACTTACCTGATGTTACATGGAATATTAGAAATACAAATTTCTACTCACTAAAAATAACATTAAAAAAATTATAATTATTTTATTATTTAATTTACAATTACATTTATATTAATTTAATGTACGCATTAGTCTATTGAAAAAACAATGTAATTCTATTCACAAAGGTTGATGTTCTTTGCCTGAATAAATAAAGTGTATGAAACAATTTCTATCATACAACTTAAGTATATAGTGTTTTTTAAAAAGTTTTAAATAATTTCTTCTGGTAAGGATCTTTTTTAGCAAGGCTTTTTTTACGAGAAGGACTTGGTAATTCCACATTTAACTCTCCTTCATCAGAAACAACTCTGTAATAACTCTTGCCGAAGTTACTTTCTAACTCAAAATTTGTTTACCACTGTTCATGTACTCATAAAGTGACTAGAGTATCTCGAATTCATTGTGAAATCACGGTTGAATAATTTTTACTGTCAAAATTGTTCAGAAATAATAAATATTTATATTGTGAGCATAATATGTAAAATAATCTAACAGTTAATAAAGAAATAAAATGTTTCGAAATGAAGATAAATATTTGTATATACATGGAACAATTGTTAACTCACTTGATACGAAGCAAAGAATATCATTAAATGTTTTACTAATAAGAGATGGAATATGTTACTTGGATCGTTGAATTGCAAAGAAACAACGTCTCTTTGATATCTTCCATGTAGAACTTCTATCCTATTTACATTATGTTAGGATAGCCATCTAATATCCTAAAAGAATTACTTGTGAGTTCAATTCTGTTGGTTGTTTCCTATTGGTCGTCCTAATGTTACATACTCATTGTTGTTTCCTATTCTACTTAACTGTATAAATATGCATTGGCTGTAACGTTTCATGACTCAGTATCCTTAGCCTCTCTGCACCTCGTACCTTCTGAATATTTGTAGAATACACGTTCTACTTCATATCAGGTCTTCTTCTGCTCGATGGGGGGGGGGGTTGGAACGCTCGAATTAGAGTAGCCTGTCGTGTCACTGGATCATCGATCCTCGTTCTCGTTTACTGACTAAGGGGAACTCGTAATAGTCCAAGCATATCAAACGACGTGTTGAATCGCATGCGTGACACATTAATTCATATGATTGGATGAAGATATTAGAAAACAGGGTGATCTAATGGAACAACTTTAAAAAAACGCATCAATTGTTGTTTTTAACTGATTATTTTGTATCTAATAAAATTTTACTAACCTATTTATTTTTTCCTGTTTGAATAGATTCAAAAAATGAACCCATAGTTATGCAATTAAATAATCTTCCAGTTGGTAGTCAATTTTTAGCTAGTCATTTATTAATACCTCATACAGAATTAACAACTAATTCATTAATTCTTAATAATAATTATCAAAATGATTTTCAATTGAATAACAATAGAGAAGATTATAACAAACCTAATTCATTTCATAATAACGATAATTATACTACGATAAATATCAATAATTCTAATGATCTTGCACAACAAACATCTATTCCAGAATTATCTTCCAATCATTCATCGCCTACATCACCACCTTCAATTACTTCAATGTCCAATAATGAATCTACTACAATCAATTCACCAAATTCAATGCTTGATTGGTTATCTTACACATCATGGGCTCATCAAACTATTAAAATACGTAAACATGCTTGTAAAACATGGCAATTAACATTTGATGCAAATCAACCAACTAGAGAACAAATTAATTTATTAAATGAAAATTTAAAAAATTTACAAATGACTGAAAAAGAATTTATAACACGTTTTCAAAAAACACAAAAATTCTCTGAATGTGATTTTCGTATTAGTTTAGATCCGTATAAAATCTACACAGAGTATAAATGTTTTATCAATAAAAATTGTTCTACTAATCTTGATGTAGAAATGAATGCCAATGAATTACATGCGAAGGCGTTGTGTAGTGCAGCAAAAAAATTGAATATTGACACAGATCTAGATTTAGATGGATCAGAGAATTTAGATGATTGTCCTCCGATTGTTGAAAGTAATGATCCATGTGAAGATCAATCACAACAGAAACAACACACCTCTCATGAAAAATTATCATCTAATCAACAAATTCATAAAAGTAATGTGTCTGTCAGAAATTCTGCTTGTATGTCCAGTTCCAGTGATTATAATCTTTGTACAAGTTTGAAAAAGCCTAATGAATCTTTTGAAAATTCAACTGAGGCACTTATTCATACGAAACTATGTGATAAATCTTTAATTAAATCATGGTATTGTCTAAATTTTCCCGATTCACTTGATATAAATGAACAGTTGAATATAAACAATACTTTTAATGATACTACAAATACTACTAAAATTGCAGAGAGTAGTAAACTTCCATCAGAGGAAATGTACCTGGAATCACTGGTAAGTCAATCAGAGTGCACAGAGCAAAACTTACAAAATAACTGTAAAGAATATGTAACAGTTTCATTGGATTCCGACAACAACAACAACAACAGCACTAATTGTTTATATAGTGAAGAAAAATCTTGTGAAATTAATAAATTTATTGAAGAATTAGAGAATTTTTCATCGGAAAACCTATTGACCAACTTTACTGTACTTGATAAAACACAAGAACAAGTAATAACTGATAAAATGTATTTTAAAAATACCACTAACATTAATCGATGCAATAGTTTATCATGTTTAAATGATCATACAAATGATACATGTCATTATGTTGATAAATTATTTAATCGATTCAAAGTACCAAGTTTACAAACATTATTACCAAATCAATGCAATAATCATGATCAAGAATTGTTTGAAACATGTAAATCATGCAAATCTCAATTAATCACATCGATATCATTCATGGAAAAAATTTCCGATGTAGAATTTAATAAAAGCTTTGATCAAACAACACAAAGAGTAGAATGTTTAACTGACAATCAATTTCACAATTATTGCCATCATCATCATCATGAACATCATGATAATTATTATGAAATGAATTTTAATCATGGTTCATTAAATAATCTTATACAAAATCATTTCATCAATGATATCACTAACACTCATGATCATTCGAATAGTCTATGTTCATTAATGTTAATCCCGCCAATGAATAATAATAATGATCAAGAAAAAATTCAACAAATAAATTGTAAAAAACATCATTTTTCTTTATCAAAAATAGAAGTGAATGATTCTTACAAGAATTTAAACAGTTCAACAATCCCATTAACAACAACAACATCGTTAGAATATAATGATATGAAGTTGAATATTGATAATAATAATAATAATAATACTCGTACTAGTACAGTTGATGATAATACAGCTGGTAATAATTCCACTGATTCTCCCATAACTTATCCAAATTTAGGTAAGTGTGTTTATAAAGGTACTATAGAGAGAATCTTACAAATCTTTAATAAACTTAATGGTTAAACAGAGATTCAAATATAGTCCTGTTTATGTCCAATGAGAATGTTTTTAGTCAAGATAACCAATAACTTATTTAATGGGTATTGATTTATTTACATTAGTATATGATTTTCTGTTGCGCATAATGAAGACTTCTAGTGAAAAGTTTCTGTTGCATCTCGATGTATTTTTCGGCTCTAAATATTCTAAAATTTGTGTCGAAATACTCTCGAGATAGTCTTTCCACAATCAAATCAATAATTACAATCAGTCAATGAAGTTGCCGACTAGCTCATCTGGACCACTTTTATAGCTTCAGAGTATCTGGCTGTAGTTTGTATGATTATCATAAATATTGATTGAAGGTATGTTTCGACATGACTGAGAACCAGTCATAACAGTTCAGAAGCTTGCAAATTTCGTTTTCGCTTATATAATGAATTTTACAAATATTTTAAAATTTTTATTTCTCTTATTCATTTTTTCCCCGCGTTGTATTCTCTATGTCTATTAGGTTTAATACCACAGATACACCCACTGTTTCTATTACTTCAGTATTTATCTTGTTATGCTTTTGTCCAAATGTGACAATTCGGGTTGATAAACATATAGTCTTTTACTAGATTTGTTTTAACTGCAAAACTGTCCATGTCTGTACAGTGATTGTTGAGCGACTGATTGTGATATATATTCGTTGTCTCTGATTTGTCGTCATTGTTATGCTGTTTGCTTGAAAATCAGGAATTACTGCAGTTTTTCAGTCCAACTGTTTAAAATGGGAAACAGAAACCTGTACTAATTCCCACGACATAAAATGAGGACATGAAAGACTTGTGTGATGAACATTTACTGACTCGCCAAACATGTCCCAAAATCATATTATGATTAGACCACAATATAATCATTCATATTGTAGTGAAGGAGAACACAGGTGAGGGCAACCGAATTGTATTTAACGAAAATTACAGAGTTACTCAGTAAAATAGGAAAACCATATCGTAACCGTTAATTTGCAAATCTTCAATTCATCATCAATCCATTGTCTGACATTTCACTATTCATACGTTTCATACAAATTCCATTGTGTTCCCACTCTTCCTTTCTTGATCTTCCCTCATTTTCTGCTGCCAGACATTACGTTTACACTCGCGTCATATACTACTTATAAGTAGCGCGCACCACAATATACCAAATTTTACACATTTATGGTTAAACTACATAGGGTTTCTTTAAATGTAGTTTACCTGATTAATATAGGAAATATAATTGTCACATTGAACCAACGTTCACACCTGTCACCCTAATCAATGTCATCCTTTTAATCGCATCATACATATCAAGGCCTCTTCTATCTCGCTTATGAATCAATAACTAACTGAATCATTGTAGAATAAACATTTCAATATTAATCTCATGTATGACGATTTTTCTTCGAACTAATTTATTTTTTTTCCGGATAGTGAAAATGCTGTTTAAATAATTCCATTTTTCCCCTTTTTTCTCTCTCTCTCTGTTCTATTTCAGGTCCATTTTTAACTACATTATTGAATCGTTTAGAAAATTTCACAAATAATTGTTTTTATGCTAATCTCTATTTAACTAATCTCATTTCTAGTCTTGCCTCTTATCCTATCCCATTATTACGTGCTATTTTATTCTTAACTAATAATACAACACCATCATTTAATCAATCCATGAAAGAATCAGTCAGCAATGCACAAATTATTCAAGCAATCAATGATGATATTTTATATTATTTACCATATAATATTTTATGTTTAATTAAAGAACAAATTGAATTATTCAATGTATTATATACGAAACAAATTAAATATTTCGGATTATACAATACAACAATGCATAATTATAGTTTTGATGAATTAAAACAAGAAGCACGTCGTTATTTAAATGGTGAAACAGTTGATTTATCTAAATTATCCATGTCAATGAATATATCATCATCAACAAAGTCATTAGAAGTCGACAATAGAAAGAAAAATATTACACATAAAGAATCAAAAAATTTTACAACTAATAAACAAACTATATCACCTAGTAAGTTTCTATTTACAATTTTCTCTTTAAGAAACATTTTAACTGATCATTGTTATGTCTTTTTTTTGAAAAAAAAATCTAAAATCACAATGTGACTGATACGTTTTCTACTTGAAAATTTGAATATCAACTTTCTAATTGATTCATACTAGTTCATAGAAATCAAGTTTTAAACATCAAATAGTCAACAAAGTCTGACAAACATTTTATTCCCAAAGTTATGGTATGTATGTACAGGAAACTAAGGTATTTTTAATTTTACTCGTGTTTTGAACCTTCTAGTAGCTTCCAGAAAGTATGTTTAGCTTGATAACAAATTCGGCAATTGTTTAATTGATTATGAATAAGAAGATCCTTTGTTTTTTTTAGGTTTCCCCTTTAAGTTTGTAGAGAACACTGATTGATCATAGTATATTGTCAGTATTTTACATGGCATCAATTTCATCCTCGATATTATTATACACACTAGTCGATGTATCGTAAAATAATCCATTCTAACTCGTTAAGTTATAATCTATGTTTAGTGGTTAGCATGTTTATTGTTTCATTATCATTCTAAACTATTTCTTATAAATGTATAAAGAAAAGTAGGTACGAAACCAACTCATTCTTCTTTTTACGTCAATAAGTTTTAACTATCGATAATTATAATCAGTAGTATACTGTTTAAATCGTAATTTCCTAATATCGACTGCAATAGGATGCTTTGAAGATCTTGCATCTAGCCAAGTCATTATGGTAGGATTCACCATCTATCTCTCTGTCATTGTAATACAGTTTATTAGCTTAGCACTGTGTGGTCCAGTCAAATTAGTTTTTCTGATTGTATTTTGTTTAATTCTTTTGATTTATTACAGTGATGAATTCGAATAGACGGTCGTATTTCCGGAAATGGTTTAGCCTTTCTTCCAAGTCTAATAATAATAAGAAGAAGAATCAAAATATTAACAATAATTCTGGAAACAATCTTAAAAATACTAAAAACACTGCTAAAAATCGTCGTAAATCTTCCAACACTAATGTATTGAATCCAAAAGATTTACTTGATTTCTCACAAATTCTACAAAAACCAATGATAGAGTCTACTTTTCTCATTGACTTAGATAGTAATTATCAACAATTGATCAATATGTTATCTGACAAGAATACTACTACTATTAGCGGTAGTAATGATAGTAACGGGAGTAATATTCAACAACGTCGAAGAATTTTTCGACTGTCCACAATTAAACGACTAAAAACCAATGTCAATACAGATGATAGAATAATGTCAATGATGATGATGATGAATACAGAAAATTCAATACTTGATGTATCTAGAATACAAAGAATGGTATTATGTGCAGTGATATTTGAAGATTTTTGTAAAGAATTAGCTGCTATCTGTACAGAACACAGTATACAATGGTAATATATCTATCTACCTCATCTCTTAATGATGATCAGCTTACCTTGTCATTTTTTTTTGTGGACATATGCACATTAAATTATACCATCATGTAAACTGTTTTTCTATTAATCCAAACACTGATCTTTCCACTTCATTTATTTATATATTTGTATGTTTTTTTTGTACTTACCTTGAATGTTTTCTTTTTGAAAAAAACTTGATTAATAATCGTTTTAGAAAAGTATACTTGTCTTTTTTTGAACTATATTTATTATTTCTGAAGTCAGATCAATATCTATTATATTTTGAATAGAGGATGATGGTAAAAAAGTATGTAACTGTATAAAATAAGTAATTTTCTGAAATATAGGTGATTTGTGTTAATAACTGTCTTTCATTGACTATATGAACTTCATTATTGTTACTATTATTCTTGCTATAATTATTATTATTATTATTATTATTATTATTGTATATTAGTAATGAGTGGTAAAGGGGAGACCATTAAATACATATCAGCAGAGGTATATATATATGCATCCAAATATCCATGTATCCACTTTCTTGACTTGATCATTTCTATTGTTTTATTTATTTATCATAGCGTGTTTGTTGAATTTACTTTGTGAGTTGGTTTATCTGTTGTGTTATTTACGTATTTGGTTTTTTTTTCTTTTTTTTCCTTTGTTGTTGTTTAGTTTCTATTTTTTTTCTTTCGATTAGGTTTTGTGAATTAATCTGTCTCTAAGAAAATTTCATTACTCAAAACTTTTGTGCAATTAATATTATGTCAAACATAATAATGATCTAACAGCTGGTTTGTTTTGAAATAAATATTTTGAATAAACACGATATTGTCGACCGGCTTTTTTCATATTTTATTTTATGCTACTTAAGTTTGTAAAAGTAACATATTTTGAGCTATATAAAAAATCAGCCTACGTAAGCTGAGTAGGGGAATTTAAAATCATTTCAGGAAAATTCGACGGTATATTTTAAACCCTTAGAAAGTAGTATTTGAAATCAAGTCTTCTTTTTAATTTGGTGAATTTGAGTACAACCAATTCATGACATCTAGTATGTAAAAGGTTTCACTAAAATCTCAGGAATAATGATGCTAGATTTCAGGTGTTGAAAACAACTTATAAGTGTTTCAACTATAGTCTAGTTTGATGTTTATTTCGCTTTCTTTTAACATGGAGGTATCTAATTGTGATATTCAAATAGAAGTAACAGACCTACAAATTGACAACAACCTGAATTACTACTTCCAATAGTCAACGTTAATTTTATTCTATTCAATTAAACTTACTTGAAATTCTTCTCAGTTAAAATATTCGTTATTTCGGGTCAAATCACATTTTGAAGACTAGCGCTAGCGTTTATTTTTGCTCACTTCATCAAGTCGAAATTGAAGTCCCATTTCACAGAAGCGATTTGAGACTGTGTTACAACATGCAAAATAATTCCTAATTATATTATTTCTAAGGATAAGAAGCTAAGTTATGCAAGTTCAAAACCCATAGAAACCATCAATTTTCCTAAGATTATAGGTACAGTACATATTGTTAGTAGGTACCAAATAGTGCTAGATCTTATGATTTTTAATTTTTTTTCGCAGTACGACAGTACATCAAAACTCTAATGGTTTCGATCTGGTCACTAAATAATTTATTGAGGTGTGTTTTAGTGAAAGAATGGGCGCTATATATGTTGGATGAAGCGTATCAAAGGTTTCTTCTGTGTTTGTGTTATTTAGTTAGCAAGACAATAAATTTCCTGATCATAAAATTATATAGATACTTTCAGGTACCTAAATCTCAAACTTTTGCTGTAAAAACGTAGGGATACCTATAATAATATGATTCAGGAATCGTGCACCTGTCTGAACATACTTTAACACTAAAATGCGTAGTGCATAACTTACGTAGTGTATATTTTAAACTTTGTAAGCAACGATTTCATAAAGAGTTTGTTTATTTATATTCTTGGAAACTCTTTGAACTTTTTAGTGAACTTGTCTTCAACCTAAAATCCAGCTCTCTATTATTCATTTTGTCTCGTTATTTGAATATTGTGAATTTATTTAAGATTTATACGTCGTTGAAGTCAGATTTCTATCGATAAAAATGTACCAACGTTTGACTGTTTATCACGATTAGTATGTGTACTGACAATCAACATCCATTACATGAAATTACAAAGTTACTTAGTAGATTACTAATAACTAACGTTTCTGTAGATACTATTATATATTCAAGAATTTTGACTTCCCTAGATTGTTGAGTACATCTTTAAATGATGAAACTGAGATAATGAACTGTATATTGGGATCGAATGAAAATCGTTAGTTTACTGAATACAAATAAAATTAATGGTATATTTCATGACTATGAGCGTAAGCGAATCGAGCCTATCTCCAACCTCTTTACCAACAAACCATCGATCTTTCTATGATACCCACTTTTAACCTTCTTCCAACTTATCCCAAAACTTAACTTCATTGCTCATATGGATGGCTGGGTACGTTTGGTACATACTTTGACTACTTAATTTGAAAAGTTTCAAAGCATCTACGATTAGTTTGACATTCTGATACGCAACTCCGTAGTTTCAACATTACGCATTCAGCGATATCATATAGAAATGATTCCGCTAGGGTATCAGATAAAAGCAACTTACACATGTCCGTAGTAACTAATAGTTAACATTCTGATAAGCATTCTTAGCAAACGTCACAAATCGTAAAATTAGATGGAAAATATAACCGTAATGACTTGATAGAACATTGGGTAGGTAGTACGCGTTTCAATCTTGACTGAATACGTTTTCTATACAGCAAGTTCAGAGCTAGCTTTGTTGTATCATCAAATATTCTAGAATGTGTGACAAGATTACGTTGAGTTAGTTCACTGACGATCAATCTAGGGAATGGAACCATTGGTTGAAGTCAGTGACAAGTGTTCCGAGCGATTTTTCTATGTCCAGATTAATTAGTTGGGGTCCGCTGAATTAGTGTTACGTCATTGAACCGTCTGCTGCTAATACACAGAAAATTATTTTGTCTCAGTCTAGGTTAAAGGCCTTGACGAGGTAAGCTATCCAGTCAATCTTGAGACTAGTAACACGTGTGTTACGACTAACCGGCCTTAGCAAAGAGTATAAAACTACTCTATCACCGGATAGGTTAACGAGCGAGAGAAGACCAGTCGACTGGATCACTACTCGATGTATTCCTGATTCGATCTACGAAAAAGAGACATGAATAAGTACATACTTTACGATGGAAGCTATTCGCATCGTGTATCCTAAGTAGTAAGCAAGCGAGTGTTGCCCAGATTGTTGTTAGATTTCATTCATTACACTACTACTATTACTGTTACGATTTCTATTACTCTGAAATCTATCTTGATGATGCTTCACTGACATGGAGTGGCAACTTCAACTAACGATGCATATATATATATATATATATCAGTCAGTCAGATGCAATGTAGAACTTTGTACATAAGTACATCAGTTCATGTTGCCATACCACACCATCACAGAGAAGTAATCATCAATTCAAATCCAATAGTAGAAGAGGTAGTAACGGTATTAGGAGTAATCGGAGAGGTTAGGATGAGAAGATACTATTCAAGAAGTATGATTCAGTGAGAAAAGTTTAGAGAGTCGAAACTAGAGGTGTTGAAGAATCCAGAAGATTAGGATATATATATATATATATATATATATATATATATATATATATATATATGTGAAGTCCTATTCTGTTTACAATATAGAAAAATTGATTTACTTTTATTTTATTCTTCTTTATTTATTATTGTTTCAGGTCAATAATAAAGCATGACATACTTTCAAAACAATAATAAAAGATATGATTTGTTTCAAATAGAATCAACCAATTAAAACAATGTCAAAATTGAATCACCATGTATGTAAAAGAGAGAAGAATGTGATGGAGATGTAGATGTTTGTTTTACTGGACAAACAAACAATTTACAAAGTAAAATGTAACCAATTAAAAAAGAAAAACTTGAAAATAATACAATGACCGGTAAAAGAATAATAATAATTGAAAAAGAAGATGAACTTGTTAATTGAATAGGGAAGGGAAAGGAAAGGAAAGAAATGATACTTTAACACGTGAACTGAATGAATGAATGAATGAGTGAGTGGGTGAATGAACGAAGATGGTTAGAAGTAATCAATCGCCGCTATTTAAAAGAAATCAAGTTGTAATGACAACAAACAAAATGAATTTTTATTTTTAATTAAATATTGTATTTTTTTATTCATATGGTTTCTTTGTATTATGTTTGTCATTTTTAAAGAGAGTGAGAGAGAGATACATAAGAATAATTACATAATTAATGCATTTTTATCATTCACACAAATAAAACTACACTCGTCACGATTAAATTCTCTTCATATTCACACACACACGCACACAAACAATTGAAAACAATAATCGTTTGTTATGGTTTCACTGGTTAGAAGAAAAATTACAAAAACAAACTTTAGTCTTTTTTTTATCACAGTATCATTATTCTATTGTTAATAGAATAAATGTTATTATTCTTTGAATACTTGTTGTATTACATTTTTGTTATTATTTATTTCTGTACTTGTTTTAACGAAATGGTTTTCTACCATTTATTACTGCTGAATGACATGTAGACGAACTACTACAACGTGTATAATTTGATCGAGTTGAAGATCCTATTTAAAATAAATAAAAAGATTTTTGATAAGAAAAAAGTTAAAACTAATTACATGGTATTATAATGAGGTTCATCCGTAATTTGTTATCATCATATAAGTTTACATTCAGTGGAGTATTCAACCAGAAGTAGAATTAAATCAGGATAAAACTGCTTCGACTTCAGAATAAATAAATAGTATTTTCGGGCAGACTTTGGGAGGTTAGTGTTTTTACACATTTGAAATCATCAATCAATCATTGTTAGACTACCATTAGAAACCTGGAAGCACTGGTCGACCGGGTCCCGGGTTCGAATCCTGCGAGGTGCAGGAGTCGTGGATGCGCACTCCTGATGAGTCCCATACCAGGACGAAACGGCCGTCCAGTGCTTCCAGGTTTCTAATGGTAGTCTAACAATGATTGATTGATGATTTCAAATGTGTAAAAATAAATAGTAACTTACCTTCCTTTAAAGAAAACTCACATATTCACACTGGTCAACTCTCAACAACAACAACACTATTCAAATTTCATATCACAGAACAAGTGTATAAAAAGTCGTGACCAAAATTCATTAAAATATGATTGATTATCGATAAATGATAATCAATCTTTATTGAAAGGATTTCGCACACACATTTTAATTTGAAATTAGCTAATATTTAACTCTGATTAGATCGTCATCAGGCTTTACTCTAATATACATGAATATTTATATGAAAATGTTAAACCAATCAAGGCAATTTGAGTGATAATCATTTTAATGATTATTTGAAGTCTATTCATCCACCTTTGATGCACTATTGATAAAACTTTAATTATCATGTTTTATAATTTTCTTACACTTGTCTTCCTACTATCCACTTGTACTTGTGCCTATTATATGTAGTGACGTCATCTTTTTCATTTCATTGTGATTATGACTCGAATTGCCTTGATTGGTTTAACATTTTCATATAAATATTCATGTATATTAGAGTAAAGCCTGATGACGATCTAATCGAAAACAATATTGTTCGCTTATATGTATTATTCTAATTTTCACAATGGGAAATCTTTAATATTTAACTCAGAATGATAGAAACAATTAAGAAGATTTTTCTACTCTATCAATAATGGGATCTCTGAGAGGACAACACAATTAGATCAGACAACTAATTAAGATATTTCAAAAAAACTGCCATACACACAAACAGAAAGTAGACTATCAGACTGAAGAAATGTTTGACCGATCAGTAGGGAACAATATAGAATGGAATAGAAGTAGCTTTAATGAAAAAATGATAGTACTGTGTTGAGCGGATTGGCTTTTTCATCCATATTTAGCTTTAAGACGCTTTGTATATGCGTTTGACTACTCAGGACAAAGTTACTCCTTATCAGAAGTATAAAGTACTTCAGAAAAAGGTATTTGGATTACTTTTTACAGATTTTAAAATTTATCTTGTGGTTTGGTTTGTCTCAGTTTCATGTTGTGTATCTTGGTTTCTATAATACGGATTGTAGAAATCTCATGAGTTTATGAGCTATTTCATATTCTTAACGGTCTTGATAAGCTTGTGATGATATCTGAGACATTGTTCACATGTAAGGCAATATCATCTGTGCAATGATATTCGCTGTTATTTTTCCCTTGGCTGAAGATACGGCACGTATTTTATTCATACTAAAAACTTATATAGGTTAAACATTCAACGAGTATCGGTTTTCATACAATTCTTTAGAAATTAGTCACGATATCGATTATCCCATTTGTTTGCATAATTTCCTATTGAATCGCTAATCTATTGTTAGGCGCAAATTAAATGAAGACTTAAGTAATCTTGCGATTCCTCAAGAGTAAGAATGTTTTTACTTTTTTTTTCTGTTATCATTAATGCATAGATGATATGTTGTGATCAACAACTGGAAGAAACAATAAGCTATAATTATGTGAAATAACTGAAATTCAACCCATAAATATAACTCAAACTTGGTTTAACTAGCATAGTTATCTTACTATCTACAATTTTTTCGATGATCGATATGGGATTTATGCAAGAGTAGGTTTGCAAAACGTTATGAAAGGGCGATCAAACCAAGACTCAATATCAATCCATGAAGTTATTGGATTGAACGATGTCATTGGGTTCAGATTACCTGGTTAGGGTTAGAGTGATTATCCTAACCATTAGCAGGGAAACAATGAGTGATATTCTTCAAAATTAGTCACAGTGATGCGGGTTCACTCAGTTTTTGTTTACCCTTAGATATTTCTACTCTTTCTCTTTTATTTCATGAATTCATTCTTTTTCTGAAATGGATATTAATCTTATGCATAAGAATCATTTCTATTCTCACTTATTCGCTTTATTAGTTTTAACTTAACACTGTGGTATTTCTTCTTTTTGATAATTTCATTTCATTATTAATGATCGCAGTATAATAACTCAAACTAAATGCATATTTATGACAAGTTCTTAGGTTGGAAGAAAGTTAGGGGCGGCCAAATCAAAACATAGCAGAAATCCATGAAGTCACTGACAAGTGGACTGAGTCATGTTGATAGATGCAGACTACCTGGTTGGGGTCCGCGAGACGAAAGTCACCAATGGTTAGAGACCTTGAATGACATGGCTCGAAACCGTTTGCAGTGGCGCAGTTGCACCCACTCTTTGTCTTCTCTCTAATTCTAACCTTCTGAATTCCTCATAATCTCTATCTTTCTCCTCCTAAATTCATCTTACTGAATTATACTTTTCGAATGATATCATTGCTCCCTAATCTTCTCGATTGCTGCTAATAATCCTACTATCGCTATCACTCTTGTATTTGAACTGATAGTTGCGTCTCTGTGCTGATGGGGCATGGCAACCTGAACTGATGTACTCACGTACGAAGTTCTGCGTTGTATCTGTCTGTCTTATGACAAGTTCTACATTGTTTAAATGTGATTATCCCCACATATCGGCAAAATTATTGTCCCTTATTTTTTTCCCTATTCCTTCATCTTCCACCATTTCATAAGTTTTCTTCTCCGTTTTTTCTTCATTTTTAAAAAAAAAATCACAATTGACCAACAAATAAAATTCCTACATCTTAAATACAATTAAAATTCAATATTATATGATTTTTATAACAAAACTATTACTATTATTATGATTGCTGAAACTATTTTGATAATAAAAATTTTCCACATTATACATACCATCATCAAAACCTTTTTCTAATATTAATGTTAATTGAACAATATCTTCCGGTAGAAATTCTTCAATTCCTTGTAAATTATCACGTGTTCCTAATGCACAATACATTAATGAGGCATTATTATTATTATTATGATTATTAGTAGTAGTATTTCGATGATCTAATGAAAAAGATGAAATTGATGAATTGGATGGTTGAGAATTTTGATGAGATAATGGTCTAGAGGATAATCGATTTCTTAAATGTAATTTCAATGCATATACAATCGATAATGGTATTTTACCAATAATTAAACCTTTTGGAAATAATTTCCATGCTACCTAAAATAAATAAATTCAACAAGGGAGAGAATATAGATTTTTTGATAATGAAAATTCAACTGTACAACTTAATTGCAATTGAGACTTGATGATAGTGCAGTGTACTTTTTCCATAATGGTGTTGATATTCTCATAGTTGAGATCAGAAAAACTAACACAGAATTTCTTGCTTCAAATTATATTAATGATTAATTGATAAGTATAAAGTTTCATACATAAAATGATACTATTCTAACTGATTTTCAAAACTAAAATCAGTTATCCTCTTCTAATGGATTATATGTATAACTTAATCAGATAACATTAAATTTTGACAAGAATTTTGGTAAATTTCAAGCCACAATATAAGTTGACATGATGGATATGGAAACACTTACCAAAATATTGTATATATTGTATATATTACAGTAAATTGTATAAATTAGTCATTGATTAAAATTCAATAACTCATTGAATAATAATTATACATTGATATGTGTAATTGATAAATGCTAGAAATTCTATAGTCAATTTCAATGAAAATACATATGTAGTGCCCCCACATAAACTTGAGTTCGCTCACATTTAATTTGATTGAGCCTTTCGATTAATTTATGTAATCAAGCTATTTGTATAGCAACAACCTATATGTGCCATTGGTATTTTATTATTGTCTGGTTAGTATGAGCTTGTACGACTGAGCAATGCTTACGCCTACGCACTTACTCATCCTTTTCGCTTTAATGTTTAATCTCTTAATATCCCTATGACCTCACATGACTTGTCTCGCTTGCTTTTGACCTTGTCAATCATTCGTCGCTTTTATTCATATGTGTGCATGCCTATTCCGCTTGTCATGTGTCTGTCTTATTTTTGTCTGACTATACATTCTTAGTCATGCTCTATTTCTTTGAGTTGGCTCACTAGCCTTCTCCGCTTCGCTTTGTAGTGTCCCAAATAAACGTATTCATCACTTCGAGTTCACCTTCTGATTTATAAACTGTCAGACGCTAGTTAGTAACGACTGTCTAGACGAGCTAATTAACGAGCTTAAGAACACGCAGTAAATCGACACACTACACATATTCAGCTGTAAATGATGAGGCGTACCACAAAGGATAAAATGTACCTGATGAATTTCATTTACACACGGTATAAACTAAATAAAACTGAAACTATTTCATTAAAACAAAAATATTAATATTAAGTCAATCCGTGCACACAATGTACTCATCATGTCCATAGAAACAATAAACATGATGAATTCAATGAGAAAGAAATTTCTTCAACTGATAAAAGTTTTCTTTGTTTGTTGCGGTTTGCAAACACTCATAATACATAATTGAAATATAAAACTATATTTTTTATAAGCATATTAATCAATATCATCAACAAGTACTAATGAAAGTTACTAGAATTTTTTTAAATAATGTGGTTTATTATTTATTCATCAATTACCAATATGAAGAATAAATAAGGTTTAAAAAAAACAAAACAGACAATGTTGTTGATGAGTTATTTATTATTAAAATAAAATACGACTCGGTCCGTAATATTAGCTCGCTGTACTTAAATGGTAACCACATATATGTATATATACATATATTACTGAATAAGTAGTATGGTAAAAAACTTAATAATATAAATAAGTTTATTGATACATAAACTTTAAATAAATTGAAAAATCCTTGCAACATCAGCTGTATAATATTATGATTTTTTCCTTAACTATGTAAACGCTGATCTTATTATTTAGACAACTATCGAAAACCAGAAATCGATGGCAAAAAATTTTTCGTCCTCTTTAAGACACTTTAGAGATTAGCATTTTCAACAATCTTAGAAATGATCAGATTTATTGAAGCTTTTTTTCAACATTCAAACACCATTAGGTTCAAATTTCTTAATTTATAGTCAATCAGTGATGTTTGGTATACATCATTTTATTAATAAAATTTATCTCATTTTAGATATTGACTGTAAATAGTGGTTTTAGAGTATAATCTTTTTTTGGGGGCACAGTTTTGGAGGTTTGCGTTTTTACACATTTGAAATCATCAATCAATCATTGTTAGACCACCATTAGAAACCTGGAAGTACTGGACGGCCGTTTGATCCTGGTATGGGACTCATTAGCAGTGCGCATCCACGACTCCTGCACCTTGCTGGATTCGAACCCAGTGCTTCCAGGTTTCTAATGGTGGTCTAACAATGATTGATTAATGATTTCAAATGTGCAAAATGTTTGGTTTGAAGTTGTTCTTTATAAGCTAAGAAATAAATGAAAGTTCATAGAGTATGCAATAATTATCTTATTTTACTGTTTAGATTGATCGAACAATAAATACACATGCTTCTATATGGGAATAAGGTTGATACTGTATCTTATACTCCACAATGAACACATAATAAACATATATCGGAAATTATGTCAGGTCCAGCAAGGTTTCCCACCAAATTTCCCTAACAACCTAACGTCTCAATATGCTACACGTGACGTGAGCCATTTAGATAAGTGACCATAATACAACATAATCGATAAAAATGTATACATATGCATGATATACACTACAATATAACGATAATATCATGGAATTATTACAAAAAATAATAAACAAGTTACATATTCATAACTAACTTTTAATCCACCCGATAACATAAATAAATTACAATAACCTCTTTGTACTAATGTAGTCGCAGCTCTTGGTGCTAAACGTTCATCTTCATCATATACAATTATAATATGATCAGGTTGATTACGATATGCTAACATTTCATTCGTTTCAAAATTAACACTACGTGATAACATTGCAATTGGATAATTACGAGCTAGAATAATTAAAGAAAACCAAGAAGATAAAGAAAGATAACATATGACTAACTCTATATAATGATCAGTAATCAAATAACATAAATCATACTAAAGACTATTATATTATAATTTGATTAGATATCAACAAACAAACAAACAGAAATACTTACAAACAAAAGAGTTCATGTCATGAATTGAATTTGTATTGATTGCATTTGATTAGACAATACTAGTGTTGTAGTGTAAGAGAACACAAGTGAGGCAACCGAATTGTATTTAACGAAAATTTCAGAGTTACTCAGTAAAATTGGAAAACCATATCGTAAATCGTTCATTTGCAAAGTATCAGTTCATCATATCGAACTGGACTGTTCCTGTTGCAAAACATCAATCAATTGTCACTATTCATGCGTTTCATACAAATTCCATTGTTTTCTAACTCTTCCTTTCTTGATCTTCCTCCATCTTCGGCTGCCAGATATTACGTTGACGCTCACGTCATATACTACTTATAAGTAGCTCGCACCACAGCACCACAGTGTGATTTTAAAAATTCGACTAATTCAAGTCATTTTTTTCAAGAAACAATGCATTTCCTGAAAAATAACTTAGTTTGCTTAGCATCAGTTTCAATAATAACTCTTTGACTGAATACCTACTGTAATTAATACTTAAATGTATTTTTTAAAATTTATAACTTAAAACATGATGTCAATGAACAAGTTGGCTGATACGATTTATGAAAATAGAACTTAAATGATTAATAGATGGATATGGTCGATAAGATACCTTCCATATTCGAAAATGTTAACAGCAGTAGGGATAATATGGTTCAAACGAGAAAAAGAATGAGTTTAGGGGATTAAATAAAACAATTTTGAAACCTAAAATCCAAGATAAGACAAATGGTGAATGCAGCTGTGTCCGAATGACTGATTTGGAATCATTTCGTTCAACAACAGCAACCAGTAGTTAAGATAATCATCCTGACCTCAATAGAATATAACCTATATCTGTGAATAATGTTTGATCAAATAATACACAACTTTGTAGAATAATGATGCATCTTGATTTAGCCGCTTTCACCTTTTTTTCCTAACCTACTTTAACACTAGCTAATATATATGACGAAGATGTTTTCTTTACAACATTGAACATACACTGAGTACATTGTTTTGAATGCAAGTTGTATAGATATCTAGTGAAATCATAAATAGATATATGTTTTGTAAATTCTTTTTAAGTTATCCAGATTATTTTTAATGTAATGACGTGGGAAATAAGTGTACATATTTTTCAAATACAACCATAATTTTACAATTATAACCAATTGATCAACCAGTCCATTAATTATAGATAATATATATCGACATGTACTGATCAAAGTTGTTGCATTTTATCACAATACAGTATACCAAGAGATAAATAAATAAGAAAAACAATGATTTTAAAAAAAATATTGAAAAGTTACCTGTTATAATATGACATGTATCATAATCATCTCGATCCCTTACATCAAGTAATAAATATGGACTGTCGAGTAATGAATTAGCTTTATCGTTTGTATCTGGGATTTTTGAACGTGACTGACCAAAACACACATCGAACTCTCCAACACCAGTAACAAGGCTAAATTGTGTTTTTAGGGAAAAATTAGTTTGAATATGGTGAGAAAAATAATAAAATAGATATAGTGTTGTATTGCATTCATAAATTCAAGAGAACAACCAATCTTTTATATGGCGTTGCGACAAGAAATTGTGCATGTGTTGAGTGACATTTTTAAACTAACTTGTAATAGTTACAAAATTTTCGGTTTGCAGCTAGCAGTGGAATCCAGGATATAGGCTGCATCATATTTGATACTCATCGGTTGAATTTTCCTCCATCCCATTGATGTTCACACTAAGACTCGAATCCAGTATTTATCCAAGAGCTACTTAGTCGGAACAACCACGAACTTGTTCAGAGGATACAAGGATAATAATAAGCTTTGTAAAGTCGCGTTAATTATAATCAGCATCACAATGGATTATTAGTCTCTTTTACAAAATATGCGTTCATAGTGGACTACCTCGATATCAGTCAGTCAACAACAACATGGAACTTCGTACGTACATACATCAGTTCAAGTTGCCATACCACATTTGCACACAAATGCGATTGTCACTTCAAATCCCATAATAGTAGAGGTAGTAAAGTATTAGCTTTAACCGGAGAGATTAGGGTTCGAAGATATTATTCAAGAAGTAGAATCTAGTGAAATAAATTAAAAAGAAGAAGATAGAGGTGATGCGAAACTCCGAAGGTTAGGATTGCAGAGAACACAATGAATGAATGCAACCGCACAATTCAAACGATTTTGTGCCATGTCATTCAAGATCTCTATCCATTGATTACTATCATCCCAACCAGGTTGTCGACACCTACCGACATGACTCAGTTCAATCGTCAGTGACTACATGGATTTCTGCCATATTTCGGCTTGGCCGCTTCCAGCTTTCTTCCAACCTATTCCTATATCGCAAAACATAGCTCAACGAGGCAGTCGGTGATTAGGCATACTTAACGTATGTCCCAACTACCTCAACTGATGAAGTTTCAATACTTCATCGACTGATCTGCCATCCTTACCTGGTACTCGCTTCCTAATAGCAGTATTGCTTACTCGGGTGTCCCAAAATACACAAGCGATGCTCCGGAGACATCTGTGATCGAAAACCAGCAACCTAAGAATATCTTCTACTCTGACTGGCCATGATTCACAGTCAGAAAGTAGGACGGAGCGAACTAACGCACAGTACACTCGTCCTTTAGCCAGCAAACGGTTATCTCGCCTTCACCCTAACTGACGCAGGTCGGCAAAAGCCAATCGAGCTTTCTGTATCAGTGCTGAGATTTCGTCAGTCACCAGGCCATCAGCTTTGATGAGACTCCCGAGATAAGTGAAGCGGTCTACACGTTCGACTACTTCACTCCCTATCACTAGTTCAGGTGCCGACACAAACCAATCCTGAAGCAACATTTTGCATTTCGACAGGGAAGTAGGAATTTCTTCTCAGTTAGTTTTTGGGCGCGGCTCTACAGTAATATATATATTGCCAAACTAGAATATGGAGTGCTTAAAAGAATCCGATAGACAATTAGACAATATAGTAGCAGAATTACCATTGGGTTTTCGCTTAAAAAAACTTTTTTTTTCCTTCCAAATCCCAAAAACGAAACGCTTTAGGATACAATCAGTATTTTAAAATCTTAATGTCAATATATATAGATGATACTTTTTTATAGTAGTGAAAAATAAAAAATAAAAGAAATAACATCCTTCTACCAATCATAATTCACGCGTGTGGAAGACTAGAGTAACAACATGATATTCAATCAACATGAAGAGTATCATAGAAGATACAAAACAAACTTAATGAAATCTCTGACCCATCATGCCAATATGATTTACACTGGTAACACCAGCTTAGTAGAAATACATCAACAGGCACATAAATAATCATATTAAAAAGAAATATCCTTCTAATTAATTAATGTTACAACATTTCATTGTCAACACCCATTGGCTGATAAGATTTCTATTTTAATCAACCTATCATCATCATCATCATTGACTTGTTGGTTAAGTTATGTATTTAGGAAATGTACAAGATTAATTAACAGCATAATTTATGTAAAATTTTATGCGTCTTTGCGAATTTATTAGTACAGCCATTCAAATATTATACTTGATAATTCATTCCAAATGTTGTGAGCATGGCAGTTATAACAATAATTAAGAAAAAGATGCCTATTTTCCGAAGTTAACCGCAAAGTTTGTTTTCAAAATATAAAATCAATTGTGAAAAAAGTATACTTTAAGGAATTTCTTAAATAGAATATGCATGAAAAACCACAATATACACAAGTGATTTTTTGGGTAAAACAACTATACAACAGTAATCTAAATAAGTCTACTGTCTGTACTGCTAACAGAAAACTTCTCAGGAAAAAAGAATACGGACATGACAAGCTAGTTAGTTGAGAACATATTTTATAAAATAAATACAAGATACACTCTATTACATAATAATTGATTGTATTTAGACAACCATTTGAAACCTGAAAGCATTGGAAAACTGTTTAAGGTCTTTGTGTCAACAGGTTTGACTAACCAGATATAGTCAAAAGCTGCTGGCATCGGTTTTTAGGACCAAACATTCATATTTTTTAAACATTAATATATTTGGTCTCCTGAAATAAATCATGTCAATTTTAGCATTAAAACATAAACCTCTCATACGAGAATTAGTTGTGTGAGAAGGAAGTTTCAACTGGCGGTATAAGCCTGTTATTTTTGAAACCTCGAGATTAAGAAAGTGGCTACTTATGAACATAGTGAGAATACCCTACTTCTTTCTGATCTTTGACTAAAAATAGACCACTGTGGTGCAAATAGAATAGATGTTGAGATTCCTACAGTTTACTAAAGTAAAACTTGTTCTCAGTTACAATTATGGGTTGCATGTATCGACCGAATATTACTTGCATCCCTTACATGTATTTGTTATGAGCACCAGTTGGACGAGGCTCTGCTTCACCCTTTTTTCCTGATGTTGATTATTGACAAGGTAAACAGAAATCAGATTAAAGGTCGATACCGACATTGCTCTAATAACATCATTCTCGTAACAGGCTCATGTTTGCTGCATGTTTGTCACACTATCATCCCGAATCATTATTGGCGAATAAGATTGAGTCATAATGCATGGATGGTTGAAAAAAATCGCCTAAATAAGTTCCTTGTAATTTGATTGGATCAAACACTAAAACGTAATTTGTTCTGTAATTGTGTAACGATAAAAATACTATGATTTGCTGGAATATCGGCCTAGCTTCAAGGTTAACAATTTAATCGATTCGACATGAGGTCAAAAGTTTGGGTAAGTTCATTTGCTGACGGCCTTGGGTGAACTAATCGGAATAAGAAAAAATCACCTATCTCGAGCGAAATTTAGAGTGCAACAGGTAACTCGTATGGTATTATTAGGAATCGGTAATATGGGGTCCCGGAATGCTGGAAATCAATAGAAATTTCTGCAAAGGTACCGAAAAAGAAATTAAGGACATACGTAACACATGTCCCAACAAGGATCGAGAGAGTGGACAGCCCTGATGGACGCCACTTCAAGAAGAGAATTCTGATGACAGTTCGCCATAAGCTCTCACTCGACCAGTAGTTTTAGAGTAGAGAGCTTGTATAAGGTTAATGTACTTCTTTGGTACACCTTTCAATGACAGACACTGCCACAGAACCTCACGATCCACAGAGTCAAATGCCGTCTCTAAGTCGAGAAATACTACTATTATGGGGCGTCTGAAAGTGTGTTTTTGTTCTAGGACCTGTCGTAGTGTGAATATTTGGTCTATACATCCACGTCTAGGTCTGAAACCAGCCTGGTTTTCTCTAGTCTGCTCTTCACGATCTCTAGTTAGGCATCTAAGGATAATCGAGGCTAACAATTTAGGAACTATATTAGTTAGACTGGTTCTCTTGTGAATGTCACAAGAGGACTTTTGTCCTTTCATGTAGACTGGGACAATCATTGATTGAGACCAGTCGGTATTACGCCCAGTTCCCATATTCTACCCACGATCTCAGTCAATCTAGCTGCTAAATCTGTCAGATCCTGAAGCTCCCCTGACTTAAGATTTCCTATAGCCTTTTCAACTTCACGTAGAGTCGCAGTCAATTTGCCATTCAAGATGACTGGAGATCGTGGGTAACCGAAGTGAGGCTGAAGGCTAGTTGAACTGATCCCTAAAGTGTTCTGCCCATCGATCCAATCTCCTGGCTTGAGAATGAATGATACAAACATCCTTTTCTGTGATCGTTTCGCTAACAGATAGATTTCTTATACCTGTTTCCTTTATAAGGGGAAAAGTTGTCTACTGTTGCCTATCGATGCTGCCTTTTCCATGGCCCTTGCTTTCGCCACCAACCACTGTTCCCAGTCGTCGCGTAGGCTTTTTATCAACCTGCGCCTAAGCTGACTTCGCTCTTCATCATGTTCAGAGTCAGGTGGGCATCCACCAGTTCGGTAGATGCTACTGAGATCCACGGCTTCTTCATAGACTTATGGTTTACCTTACTAGCAGATATCTTTGCTGTTCCCACAGATCTTTGGATATCATCCCAACCTGCCTCCGGATGGGAATCACTTACATGGTCGCCTAACTGTTTTTCTAGTTGCTCCTGAAATATATTCATAACTCTGCTATCATTAGGTAGAACCCTAAGAGGTTTCCTTGTGGTGTCTTTCCTACGTCCGGTAAGTCATAAACAAATACGCGCTCGCACTAGGGCGTGTCCCTATCTTTCCGAGTCCTTACTGTCCCGTGTAGTTGGACAGCGCACAAGCGACTATCTACTGGGATGCAGTCTAGGAGAGCTAGTTCTGCCCTAGCACTCAATGCTATACCTACACTAGCGAGACGCTGGGAAGCAGCATCAGGACTTCAAAATACACGAAGGTTAAATCGAGTTGCTTATTTATCTCGACTTGGTAAAGTCAAGTGAATGACGCTACTCGGATCCTGTATGCGTGTTTCTGAGACGCAGCATACATCAATGGCGTGAGATTCTAAAGTTAGGAGGTGTAGGAAGGATTTGATTGTGACCAATTTGATCCCGTTTGCTGTTACGGGTATGGGGGTGGTTGTCACTTCCCGGCTGCTCACACCGTGGAAGGGAAGTGTAGATATTTAAGACTAAGCATTTCACATTTATATCACCTATTGTTTAAAATATGAAACCTTGATCATAAACAAGACAGGCAAGGAAGGAGGTATAGTTCTGAAGAACAAAATGGATTACATCGATAAAAAAGTTATTGACATCCGCTTTGGAAATCTTAATGATTTTTTGAAAAGGTAGGACCATTTAGTGCAACTACACACATGAAATGTTATTGTTGAAAGCATTTTAGTATTTGTTTAAGGTGTTGTTTCATAAAACTGAACATTATTCGTTCACCCCCTCCCGCTTAATGTATGCAACTCGATGAAGCAAAGTAAGGAATATACATCCGCAAGCATTTGAGCTTTTGATCATAGTAATCCTTTTGGCTTGTTTAGTCCACCAATCAACAAGATATATACACTGGTACAAATCCATGACTGAATTGATTAAATGTAATCTATTGGTAATTCTTAAATGCAATTTTATTGTTGCTTTTTACTCAATTGTTTTACAACATATAAATTGTTCATCATATTTTTCAATAATAGTTAACAATAGAATCTAGGATGAATGTTTCAGCTTTTATGGGACTCGCTAGACCGATATACGTATATCCTAATGGAAATCGCATACATTATTTATCATATGAAAAGCTAACAAGATATCAACTATGATAAATAAATGTGATTGCTAACAAGTTGTTCAATAAGAGAACGCAATAATTGTAATAATAATGATAATATCTTAAAGGATTGTTTGAAAAATGCATCGCTATTATTTATAGTCCTCAAAAGCATTTTTGCCAAATATTCTTTAACAATATGTACATCACATCTGAGCTTATAAACTCATATAAAATTCCTGTGAATCAAACTGCGAAACATTTATCAGTTATGTAAATCTTTGACATCATTAAAATTTTAACATTATGGATATAACTACTATCAATTAAAAAGTAACCTAAATCTATTCTTTGTAACGTACCTACGTCTCTTGGTATATTGAATAAACATGAACATACATACATTTAGGGAAAAATAAACACACACGCATAAAAGGGGAAAATATATAACTGCTTAGAAAACTGCAAAGTGATTGTGTAGATTATATCAAGTCAAAAGAACAATGGGTACAATAATAGTAAAAGCATAAGCTTTTAAGTATTTCTTAATTCAAATCTCCATTAACCTAAATTTCAAATCAGTATGTTTTATTAACTGATCGGTTACCATAGTGATAAGCATCACAAACAAACATGAAATAAACTCATAGATAAGATGACAAAAGTTAACTGTTTAATGTGCTTTTTGAGGTGCAGGGAGGATTAATCTACATTCATGGATAATAAAAACAGTTTTACCAATATTTGATAAACTCTCTTACTATGAAAATTTACTTGTGTAGTTTATGAAGTTTGGAATCAGTTTTCATTAACCAAAGAGCTGTGGATAGCTGAGTATTCCGTCCTAAATTGAAGATTTTCAAAAGTACTCATTTACAATCACACACACAAATTTTAAACTATGTACCTTATACAGTGAAATATTTGATTTTGGACCGAAAACTATTGCCAAATGAGTAGTACACACTCTTTTTGAATAAAAAAGAATTAGTTCACTTATTTTGTTGTTTACTGAAAGACATAGTCATAAGAGTATCTAGCATTGTTCATTGTGTCAAGTACTTTAGCTCATTTTTCCAATCGTTTAGTGAGAGTTGCGTACTGGTGTGAGATTTTTATAAGATTTCATTTCAAACCCCTGATGTTCCTTGAATTTTTTTTCTCCATCCGATATAGTTAAACTGTGTTATTTAATAGACAAGTGAGAAGAACTTTAAATAGTTGAGATGGAATTTTTAGAGAAAATTACACTTTAATATGGAGCGCTCACCATCTAAGTTGACAAAAAAGTGGCCTAAAGTACTAGATAAAGTATATTTATTGAATATTGAAAACGTTGTGTATAACTCCAGTCTAAAGAGTTACTTACATTACTTACTTTTAAAAGCTTCTTTTATAAAACAATTTTGGTATTGTCTACTAAATTAAACAATGAGTAATGAATTTATTATAGTTTTATAATACAAGTATAAAATATCTTTGAATGAACTCTATTTTGCATTTTCTATTCAATAATAACACATTAAATGAATTAGCTTATTTACCAATAGTAATAATGATAATAATAATATTTATTGTTCATTTATGAAATATAATTATACTATCGGTTTGTTTTATATGGTAACAAGAAGTAGATTTCATGAATGAAGTACTTGAAACAACAGATTATAACATAAAACATATCAAACTAGCACCTATTTTAAATCTATTAACCTTTAGAACTAGTATGGTTTTTAATAACAAGAGTTTCTACTCTCCAAATGTTGATGTTTAGGAATTAATTTTAATCAATCTATGTTGATTTATTTACTTCATTAGCATATTGCCATGATTAAAACTGTTTTGTCAAAGGTTTTGTAGATTATATGGATCATAGTTGGCAATGAGATTAAGATCGTGCCTTTCGTTCTGTTTGAGACTCATGAACTGAATGGACCTTGATTTTAGTGACACACTGACCCAGTAGCATTTGCTGCAAAAGCCAATGCGTTATCCACTAAGTTACTGAGTTCAGACGACTATTGATTATTAGTAACAGTGCTCCCTGTCAAAAAGCTATTGTAAATTGAGTTAACTTATTCCTTCGAATACAAATTCTAAAATGATATGATAGATGTGTTATATCTGATGACTTATTAAAATCACATAGCTGGCTTTCAGTTTTACTCTTATAAATACTGTAAGATTTAACATTACTCTCTATGACTGTGAACTATGATCTGCGACAGTAAAAGGCATTTTTATGACACAGGTTTTTGATTATATGTATCTTCGAAGCATTGCTCATCTATATTGAAACCATCAAGGGGCAGTTCTGTGGTTGCGTAAGTCAACTGATGAAGTAGTGAATTTCCATCGACTGAGGTGAATCAAACATGTATTACGTAGGTCTAACCACCATCTAACACAACGTCCATCGATTTTTGTGGAAGTAATTTGGGAGAATCCTAAAGGAACCCCAACCGAAACTCCGTGTACAGACCAACAATATATTGACTAATTGTCTGGGCTACGTTGATATGTCTAAGTTTTTTTGATTGGGTCATCGCAATAACCACGATCATTGTCAAGCTTAACAATCTGTCAGTCAGACAGTCAGCAACAACGTAGAACTTCGTACATACAAACATCAGTTCAAGTTACTATACCACATTAGCACAGAGAGATCGAATAATCAATTTAAATCCCATAGTAATAGAGGCAATAGAAGTGTTAGCGGTAATGGCTATGATTAGGTTTCAAAGATATTATCCAAGAAGTATAAACACGTGAAATAAATTTAAAAAGAGAAAAAAACGTTCATGAGGAATTAAGATTTAAATTTGAAAGAAGACGAAGAATGGGTACACCTGCGCCATTACAAACGATTTTGAGCTATGTCATTCAAAGTTTCTAACCATCGGTTACTATCGCCTCGCGGACCTTCGATCAGGTATTTTACACCTACTAACACGGCTCAGTTCATTTGTCAAAGGTTTCATAGATTTGTGTCGCGTTTTGGTTTGACTGACCCTAGCTTTCTTCCAGTCTGCCCCTACATTAGACAATCTCACTCGTCGAGGTAGTCAGTGGTTAGGCATACATAACCGATGTTTCAACCACCTGGACAGCATTGCTTACTTGATTGTCCCAGGATATACGAACAATGCTTCTAAGACACCTACGAGCGAATACTTGGAATTGACGAATATCCTCAACTTTTTCTTATTAGCCATGTTTCCCACCCGAATACTAAACAATATAGGTTAATTTTTTGACTGAATGATTAGGTGAGCAGGGAAGAATTATTCATTTAGTCTACTTAAAAGTAACACCAGACCTGGTAGTTTTTCATTGCTGTAATCTAGCAACTCATCAATCAAACTCAATTTTATAAGCAAGGTTACGTAATAAAACTCTCATATCCATTTTGGGATGCAAAAATTACCCGTCGGTAAAATGAAAATGCTATATTTCCAACTTGTTAAGAGAATTTACACATAAGTCAACCAATCATAAATGATGTAGAGTTTGGTATAAATATCCATCGGTCCAAGTTGCCATACAGCACTAGCACGATATGAAATTAAAAAGTTAATTGGTAAGAAAGTTAAGCAGTAATCAAAACAAGAAGGAATCAACAGTGAGAATATGCTACAAAACAACAGAATGAAAAGGTATCTATGGAAGAATGCAGGAACTCGAGACCTAAAAGAAGATAAGGTTTCTGTAAACCTAAACCAATCTGACCGATTGTAAGTCATTTCATCTAAAGTGGTCAATTACTGATCGCGATTATTGCTCTGGCCTCAACCAAGAAGTCTGCATCTAGCTACCCGGCTCAGACCAACAACTTTCAAACATAAAAAACAAGACTGGTATATAATCCTGTTTTGTAATAATTTATTCTATTTCCTTTAAGAAATACAAGTTTATGTAATCTACTTTTTGTCACACTTTAATTGTCTAGGTGGCTAATGTTACTGCCACCTCTGTTGCCTCAGCGCGGTTCGGACCTAACACTTATTAGTGCATAAAACCATATATTCATGTGATTCTATTTCCACTTAATCTCTGAAAAAGTTATTATCATAATCAAGGTAGTACTTGTGTAAAATTTATAAAATACAATCTAACTCAAATACTATTGAATAACCTTTCAAGTGTAGATCTTTCAGTTAAAGGTGGATCCGAATTGGTATGTGTGGAACCATCACCATTTGTTTTCTCATTATCATTAATACGATTGTCAACTGTAAACAAAATAGAAACATTCTATTCGTTTTTTTTAATAATTCAAGATAATACCTTCATTGATTGATGCATTTAATGAATCATGTTTGTTTGTATCATGATTTTTTTGTTGTACTTCAGCTATTTGTAAAATTAATTGAACAAATGTTGGAATTTTGATTCGTTTAAAAATTTCATTATCTTTCATTTTATAATCTATAATAATAATATCAAGATTAAAATATAGATATATTTTTTGATTATTTATTTCAATATTTACTTTCACGAATCTCTTCCATTTTCTTCAAGTATTTTGATAAACTTGAACCTGTATCAATTGTTGGTTGAATATTTTCATATTTTGGATTTCTAGGTATTGCTTTTTGTAATGGCTATATAATGTATAAATTAAAGTGAATATTATTAATGAAAATGATATGAAATTTTTTTTTTATAAATCATTGAATAACAATTGTTATTATTCATTTCTTAATAATGAAAATAAATAATTGAAGGTAAAAATCACTTGACACTTTCATGAACTAAAATCAGAAATAAATCTTCTAACAGTCAGTATACAGTATTGTGAAAATCATGGTTAGAAGCTAACAAAATTCTTCAATCACAAATCTGATGTAATATAATCATTTTGATTGTGAATGCGTTAATTTTTAGGAAAATTAACATTAAAACAGTGAATATTTTAAAATTCATTATAGTCAAAAACTAGTGTTTGAGCAAACAAATTATAGCAACTAACATACATTTGAGTTTGTGTACATTTAATTTGGTTAAGCCCTTTTGATTAACTTATCTGTATAGCAACAACTATGTGTGCTCTTATAATTGTCACGTTTGTATGAGCAGGTAGTGGTAAAGTATTGCTTACCGCCTACACACATATTCATTCTAGTCGCTTTAATGTTAGCCACTTAGATTATCCGATGACTAATTCATTTCCCTATGTATATATATATATATATATATATATATATAAATTTACACCTATTCACAAGTGCGCTCAACGGCGTGCTCGCTTGCTCTTCGGTACTCTCACGTCATTTTGGCTTCGCATGCCTGTGGTTTTATGATCGATGTGATGCGATAATAAACGTAATCAACGCTTCATCTTCTGATTTATTCAGCGTTGGGTGTTATATGAAAACTTTTATCAAGACGAGCAGTATACAAAGTTTAGGAATTGTATTGAACACCCAGATCCACCACAAACCCTTCACCAGCATACTCTACAGTTACGATTTTATAATGATTGTATTGCAACAGTCAAGATATATATGAATAAGCAAACTGAGTAACTATTCGCTAAATTACTTTTGAATATTCGGCGAGACTGTAGTCTATGGACGAATCAATCGCATTTGAGATAGCAAGTCTTAAATTTCAGTATCGCGGAGAGCATTTAATCTCTAGATGACTGAGCTCTAATTCAGTGGATCATATATTAAAATTCGATCAACTCACAATATTGCACGACTATCTTCGGTTGTCTGCAGAGGAAAATTTTCATATATCCAACACAGTCAAACTCTACTGGCTACAAATATAATATCACTCCATAGAAACACTGACTGTTGAACTGATCTTTGAAGCAGGTACAAGCTACCTCGTTCAATTCCACGTGGTCATCGTTACCAGTAGTCATATCAGATGAAATGGCTCAAGATCTTCTTAAAAATGGCATAGGTTCATCCACTCTTCTTTCCTTAAACCTTAGGTTCCTTTATTCCTGATAACTTTTTTAATTCATTATTTTGTAATTTATTCCTGAATTGTGTCTTTAAGACCTTCAGTGTTCTACTACCATTATTACTATTACTAGTATCACCACTCTTGGTTTTGCCTGAAATATCCAATCTAAATGCGTGCCGATGTGGTGTGGCAAATTGAACCGATGTACATAAGTCCTACGTTCTAAGTTGCACCTGACTAACCAGTTGATGATACTACTAATATTGATGGCGTCAAAATCGAACAGGAAGTAACGAGAAAGGCAGGTGTATATACACTATAAACCAGACTAGAAGTTCGAGTCACCTGGTTTAAACTGTAGTCGATTATCAACGCGATAAAGTGTACCTACATGTACACTAGAGATAAAAAAGTAAGCGATCTCGGAATGGCGGAAGCGTTTGTACCCTTCGGTCTGATCTAACAACGTTCCAGGGATAACAGAGGATAACAACCTTAAAACCATGGGTTTTAAAACTGAATCAGAGTTAACATAAACAACTTGGGCAACCATGTTTATGACTAGGTGCCTATCGCTAGTGAGATTTATACTCAAAAGCAGAGTTTGGGTTTCGATTTCTCATTGAAAAGGTCATTAGAGTATTTTTGAGCGTAGAGGACAACTACGTGAGCAATTACAAAATACCAAGGCTTAACATGCACAGTGCGACTTCAGAGATTAGACCTCTTTTTCATTTACTTTATATCCTGAGGTAATCTAATTTTATTGCACGAAATACCAAGGAATGATGTCCTGATATGTCCCTCGGTACAGCTCAGAGGATAGTGTAGGTGGATTCAAAAGCAGAGGCTGAAACAAACACCCGTATCACACATATGTTTCAGTCAAGTAATCATTTCTTGCAACTTTCTAATGAAAGAATAGGTGTTCACCCTTTAAAACAACTTATTTAAGCAAAGAGCTGATTGGGATATGACTAACACAAAAATTCTATCCCCAATACATGAATCAGAATTTGAATAGCGAATTGTTATAATTATCTACTGCAACACAGAACCAACAAGATTTGTTGGTTGCTCCGTAACAAAGCTAGACCTGCAGAAAGAAGCCTTAAAACCGAATAATTATAATTTTTTCATTTTTTAACAAGAATTCGTTGTTTCACTACTGTTCTGCAACAAAACATGCTTGGTAGATTAATAAGAATCGTTTGAGATACCATACAGAATTTTAAAAGTCACCAAACATTGCATACAAAATCAAAAACGTTTCGAAATCGTCATGGCATGTCATGTTAAAGCTCTAAACAATCATCGTCACTTTTTATTGCTCTCCAGCATATAAGAAAACCGATAATGATAAGAGACCAGTAAAGACATTTATGTACAAAAAGAACAACACTGACCCCATTACTGTAGCCTGTCACCCTTCTAAGCAAATTTTTTCAGCTAGACACCCCTAATTAACGCATCCTTTTCGTCGACACTCAACTAGAGAATCTATCCAAATAAATAAAGTCCCTTCAATCCAGATATCACTTAAATAACATCCGGTTGTGAGGCACTTAGTCAAAAGCCTTACTGAATTCAATGAAGGATACATCCCCAGGTAAATTCTGATCTTTAAGAGGACATCAATTATCACGGAATACTCATAAGTTCGAGAGATATTAATAAAGTGTTCAAAAACAATGCCGTTTTGGAGAGAATTAAATTTTTTTGACGATATTCAAACAATTACTTGAGAATAGCTTCTTATAGAATCCAAAATACCATGCTGATTAGGTCAATGAATATTATATCTATCGGTAGCTTTCTAATTTTGAGAGCCCACAAACTTTCACAAACCACTTAGTGGTATTTATAATGCTTAAATATTCCAATATTATATAACATATTATTTATAAATGTGATGCACTGAGATTCTGTTTTTCATGGGAGGCAATATATGAATATGAATAAGTCAAATGTTAGAGCAGTTTCCGCGCATATTTTGGGAAAGTTCTGGTGAATTTCGATGTTTTTGAAGTTTTTCTTATCCAAGGACAGGGAAATTATGTGATATTTGAACGCACTTTCACAAATTGTTCGCAATTTTGACCCTTAAAGCCCTTCAAAAATTGATAAGAATTCACCCTATATTCGAGAGATAAGGCTTGTACTATTTAGTGCGTGTAAAGCATTTACTCCATATATTGACAACGTTTATGCGCACAGACACACAATAAACCCGAAATATAGAAAATATACGAACGAAGAATCATACAGACATACATCTTGTGCTTTGCGTGACATCGGCATGTTGCTATGGTAAGATACTCGCGTTTAAACTAAGCACCCTTAAAAGTAGATTACACTCCTAAACGATAAAACAAAGTGACCTTCAATGATATAGCGTTAAGTTACATGTAGTAACTCTAAGTGGACAATTTAAAATGTATTTTAGTATCAGCTTATTACGAGTCACACTTACAAATTTCTCCTTAAAAGTAAGAAGAGTAAATCTCTCAACCTATATTTGTTGTCAGAACAATCATTATTCTGTTTAATTTTTAGGAAAAGTATTCAGAGATACGAGAGAGTTCGAAGATATATTTGGGAAATGTTTGGTGTTTCCAAATGCATTTAGTCTAAGCTGTTGAGACAGATGTTTGAAACGACCTATCCGATGGTGATTTGTTATGGATGATTGGTCAAGCATTCTACTGATAGCCTGCTTCGCTATACAGCATCTCGCAATCTTTTCTTACTCTAAAGCGTCATAAGGTTACAGTGAATTGTATGTTACAGTACTTAAACATTATTCACAAACTTATACGGGAAACATCATCCCATTATGTCAATAACCAGTGTATTCTGTAAAATATCAGTCTAGCTAAGCAAAGCATTATACTAAATGTGTGAGCATTAGTAACAATTTGATCTCACCTATAAACTTACAAGTCTCATATAACATATTACATTTTAAGAATAAGTGTTATTATTAATAACTAATGATAAATGCCTCTTTCAAATTATCTGCCAACTGATTGATTCATGCATTTCCCGTTTAAATGTTGGTTAAGGCCCTTGTGACGGATGCACAATTTGATATGAACCATTAGTTGAAGCCCACAAGTCAAAAGAACACGCGCAGTTGCTTATCTGTAATCGACTTTCGCCAATCCATAATGACAAGAACTTAATTTTGTTGATGATGTCAATATTATGTTTAAAGGAACCGACGGAATTGGTCCTGAATTCATATTTTACTAAATTTACTAAATTGCTGCGTTTCTGAATAATTTGTACATTTTAGAGAGTGTATGCTAAGGAGACGCCCATCAACTCCCTTGTAACTGGACAAACCCTGAATCAAGCATACTCTACAAGCAGAAGATATAGTATGAACGCGCGTACTTTGAAGGTTGTAACTTTTATTCTTGTGATATATCTTTTCCGTTTTCCGATCGTTTTACTCTAGGTCAACGGTATATATAAACCAATATTTCATACCCACACATCAGTTATTATTATTTTAGTTATTTTTGCTGAACATGAATATTCATTGCAAAATAATTTCGCATTGATAAGTTTGTCGAATCCTATGATATTCTCTGTCCTACAGTATTAAGCTGATTTAAAAGCAGTTCAAACAATATGAATTCATATTACTCTACAGGAATATTTGTTTTCTATCTCTTCAATATAATAAAGAGAATTAGGTGCATAAAATTTGGATTTAATCAGTCAATTCATCTGTGAAACTATCATTTTTATAATTGATAGAATATGTCAGCTCGTGATAAAAATTCTGAAATGTCGAGTCAAACATAAATGAATAGTTTCATATCTGTGAGATACTAAATATATATTGATGTATTTATTGTATAAATAATTATTGCAATGATTACAATGATGATAATTCATTTCGAAGTAATTAACAATAAAACTCCACAAATTGGACTACCATTTGACTTGACACTTTCTAACGTGGTATATCTGAAATCCTGGAAGAGTGCTGAAGATCTGACAGAGACTCAGATTTAGTTCCATAAAATGTAAACTGAACATTAAAATAAACAGTTTTCTAACTAATATAACACTCCCAGGTATCTAGATGAACTACTTACTTCTTAACGTCTGTTACCCTAAGCTGTTCATCATTCTCATGTCTATCTCTTTTTGTCGGCGTAGTGTGCAATATTTACAAATATGGATTATATATATATTTGCCTGGTGACATCAAGTTCCTGTTGTATCCCTGACATGTCGAAGTGATCGCCTACATGATCACTTGCAAATCTCTCATCATTTTCGTTACTATCTCCCAGTCCGTGTCGTCCCATTATGTCTTCATATCCGGTGTTGTCCATGCCAACCTTAGCATTTAGGTCTCCCATCAGAATGGTCAAATCCTTAGATAAGCACCTCCGACGATTGACTGCAGACTCTAGTAGAATTAATTTTTAACGTCCTCATTGTAGTCGTTGGTAGGTGCAAGGAATTGAATGTCATTCTTTGTTTTAAAGGATGCTTTGATGATCCTGGGTCCATGAGATTTCCATGTTATCAGTGACTTTTACGCTTGTTTGGACAGCATCACTGGTTTCTCTGAGATCGACTCTTTGTTACGGGAGAAGTGAAGACATTTGGCTGATTAAAACCTTAAAACACATATCAATAATTTCACTGTTTTTTGGCTATATTTGTTTTACTTAACTTATGAACTTGTTTGGTTTATTATTTTCGGCCATTTTGAATTCCGTTTGTCTTGGTTTTGGTCATTTGGAGTTTTTGCTCCAGGAACCTTTAAAATTGAAGGTATTTGTAATTATTATAATTATTGCTGTTAGAACGACATTGGTCGTCTATTTGTAAATTGACGAACGACATTTTGGTCGATTATTTATGAATTACAAATAAACTTTGGTACCTACTTTGGATTTGGTTTTGTTGTTAATTTGGGTTCGTGAATTGCAAATACATCGACGTACTGTACTTCAATAACGGTAAGGAGCAAAACTTGGACGTAACAATACTCTTGTTCTTTCTGTACAGTCTCAGGTGTTAGGCAGTGTCCAATGGATGACAGTCTAGACACTGAACTGCCCAGCTCTAATCAGCTGTCAGCGGTTTGTGAGTTTGTATTCCCAGTGGTTGAGATGAATACTTTTTTTTCTGGACACCAGCAGCTATCACAACAACAGGACAGAATGTACATAAGGTGAAATTTTGGATGGTTTAGTTTTAAAGTTTTTCACTATCATTTCCACAATGCGTGTAATATCCTTTTGAAGCTCAGTCCAATTCTCTTCACCTCTAATGGATCAAAGGCTCTTTGCATCGGAGTTATAAGCCAGTTACCTAACCTCGTCTAAAAGATCGGTAGTGAATATCAAGAAGAGATGTAGAACTAAGATGATCCTTTTGAAACTCTTGATGTTCAGACTCGATAAGTCTTGTGCGTTCTGTTTACCTTGGTACGAAACTTTCTATCCTCAAAGAGTTGAGATACGTGTTGAGCTTCATGGACTATTTTGATTTTATCCATGTACTCCCTCATCTGTTTGTTCACCAGCCCTTCCATTAACTTTGGTAGTATTGGTAGCAACGCGATTGGTCTGTAACAGGCTGAGTCCTCACTACCTCCTCCTTTGAAGATTGGAGAGGGTAGCATGTTTTCATTGAGCTGGGAGTTGATGTAACTCTACTGAATGCTTGAATAGGTTACATGTCGGTGAACTAAGGGCTTCTGCATATGGTTCAAGACTATGAGGCAAATATTGTCACATCCCAGTGACTAACGTGTTTGTAAGGATTTGTAGCACTCTGAAAATGTTGATATATGGTTAAACTGATGGGTGGAGTTGTTGTTAAAGATCTCAGCAAATTGTAAGTTGGTTAGATGTGCTTAGTCTGGACGTTTCGACTGTTTACTACATCTGAAAGCGTCTCCTATCACTTCAAACTCTGTTTCCGAATACCAAGTAAGAATTACGGTCGGGGTCCTTCAAAGAGAGGTTGTAGTTGAACCCGGATTTCAGTTTCCTATGTAGAAAGAGATAAGTAACCCAACCAAATAATGTTAACCTGATTACGGGTGTTTGCTGTGCAAGGAGCAGTTCACTTGTAAATAAATAATTTGATTTTCGGTATTTTCCATTCCCAGTCAATTAAAAAAGTATCTTATTTTCAAAAACCAATAACAGGAGGCATGCCAGTTTACAGAAGAGATCAAAATGCTAACATTACTAACACATTTTCCGTAAAAGGTTGTACAGTTACGTAAACATTTCACACTTGACTACTCAAAGATGGCTAAACACTTTCACATAAAATTGTAGATAATGTATCAGACTCTGCAATGTACAATGCCATAGTTGCAGCGAGTTAAGACGTACCACTGATAAATAAGAATCTTTGCAAGGAAGATCCAGGTCTTCATATTACAAGATTTGATGAGGTAAATGTGTATAGATCTCCTTCTTCATATTCGTCAGATAATCAATTTGCAGGCTCCTGAGTAATGTAACGAAGTCCTCGGTAATTAAGGGTTTACAGGAACAATGAAATGAAATTAAATAGGTGGTCCTGGTGCAAAAAGTAAAGCTTACTTACGAAACATTGTCATACGTCGTCCTGGATGTCCAGCTTACTCAGAGTTAGTCCTTCTTCCGACGCATTTGTCTTTGATCTCATTGCAACCGAAAGAGAACAGATTTAAACTAATAACATCATAAATAGTGATTTCAGGACTGTTAAAATATTGGAGATCTATTCGTTCAGCAGCTGATCAAGTGAAAACGACAAATGTTTGAGCAGCAGCGTATTTGGGGGAGGTTATTGATATGACACTCAAGTTAAGATCGAATCAGTGATAGAAGGTCAATGCTACTTTCAAATGACAATTTTACAGATAATAACAGTGATTGTATAAATGAAGTGAAATTACGAAGAATATGAAATGCAAAAAAATTATTTATGATGTAAGTCTATTTTAAACACCTTCACGGTACCCTGATTTTATTGAGATATTATTAACAGAAGCTATTTAGTATTGCGGACTAAAATGTCTTGTTTCCTTACATCTACTAAAGTGTATGAAAATTCCAGGCGCTAACTTTAATCGTTGTACTTTACCTAATCTGTAAATTCCTTCGGGTTCTACGAGTCCTAGGGGAACAGAGATTCTTTATCCAAATAGTTTACGTCACATGTTAAAATAGACGTTTTGACTTTATTTTACCTATGTTCCCCCATGTTATACTATTCTTGTAAACGGGAAATGAAAGCAAAGAAATCAGTTCGTCTATACTTGC